TAACCTACTTCCATATCTCCAATCTATTTTTCTGAATTTAGTTGTGATATTAGTTGTTATTTTTTTAAAAAAATATGTATCTAATAAGAACATGGAACAAAGATAACAATAATACGATATTGCCTAACTCATTTGTAAGATAAAATGATTCGTTATCTTTCCTCCATTTTGTTCTTGGTTTTATAAATTCTATCTCGTGATTCTTAACATTATGATTAAATGATATTTATTTATAAATAGAGCTTTGGATACGATATATCTGTTATATCACGATTCGTCCAAAACATTCATGTTGTAGAAGATAAAATGATTATTTTAATTTAGGTTTTATGTAATCAATTACATTGATTGATTTGATATTAATAAAGTTAAAATGTTATAAGAAAATATGTATCTAATATTTTATTGTAAGTTTTTAAAATATGTTTCTAATATTACTCTTCTAGAACATTTTTTTAAGTTGTCACATTCTTCTTTTTTTTCAGCCCTCTAAAATTTAGGACCAATTCTGTTTGGAATATCTCAAATATATAGAAAAGTGTAATTAATTTCTAAAAGATAATATGGTACACAGATAAAATCTCACTCCAGATATTTAAAAGATAATAAAACGTAAAAAAAAACATTATGATAATATATTTTTTTGTATTTCCAAACTTATAGACTTCTTTATTTATTTCGAATAAATTTAAATATTCTGTAACGTTTACTTAACTATTAAATTTTTATTGAAATTTTCATTAAACACATGAAAAAAAACTTTTCATTAAATTCAAGTTATATTACATAGCATAATTAAATTTTAATTAGTCTATTTTTATATCTTATTAGTTCTTGGTTTTAAAATTATTTTCATTATGTATTAATTGTTAATTATTTTATATCATTGTGTATTATAGGTTAACCTTAAATTTGGTAGTAAAAAGGGAACCAAAAATCTGTGAGGTTCGGTATTTTTATTTTCGTTGGTATAAATATAATGAAATGTATAAAGATCAATAGCGTAAATTGATTTATCCTCTTTCTCATGATGTTTTAATTATATTATATATTTTCACTAAATGATTATTTTTATTATATTTATCATAAATTTATTTATTATAATTATAATTTCTTTTAATTATATTATATATTTTCACTAAATGATTATTTTTTTAACAAAAATATTAATGTCAATTTTGTTTTTGGTTTCTTTAAAAATAAATATTAGTTCTAATGATTTAGAAGTTATTAAATTGTTTTAAAGTTTCGATGGTTGTATTTAGAGTTTACTTCATGTTTGTGTGTGACATATTATACGGATCAGTGTTAATATAGTTGTGTATTTTTGCAAGTTCTGTTTTCGAGCCAATGGTATTATGTGCTAATTTTTTCTGCAACTTATTCTTAAAAACTATCAATCAAGTAGAAAGATATTTATTCTCATTTACTTTTTTATTACTATTTCAAAAGAGATAAACGCACACTTATCATTGTGTTAGATATAGTGAACGTTTGTCAATGTTTATAAAATAAAATATCTAAGAATATAAATTATGGATTATTTTCAGCTTTATACATTTTTTAATTCATGGATACAATGATTTATTTTAATATATTTTTTGTCTCAAAATAAAAAATTCATACTTTTGAAAAAGAAATGATAAATGCATTCACATAAAATAAATTTTTGTTAATATTAAACATTAATGTTTTCTGTAAGAATAAATATTGCATGCCATGTGTCACTTTCTCTTCTTCTTATTTAGTGACATGGCATCATAAGAGGGAAGAAAACTCTTCTTTATATAATAAGATTACTTACTTTGGATCAAATGACTTAGTTTTCATGTATTTGTTTTTAAACTTTATTTTAAAAAATATTTGTCAGATTTTATCAATTAGGTTTCAACTTAATTTATATAGCAACCCATCTTCATTAAATTTATAATGATAAAATTAAAATTGTTATGACAACCGTTATCTCGAAATATAAAACTTTGGAAGGATGCAATAGTTAAAGCAAACTAAATTTGGCGTAACCGTTTTCTGTTGACCATGAAGGAAAGTAACTTTGGAATTACTTTCCTTTGTGTTCTTTTAACTGCACGAACATATTCTTTTGGGATCTACAACATTTTGATAAAGTATGAACAATCTGTTTTTAAAATTTAGACTATCTATTACCATGATTGACATGGCTCAAATCATAGCTTCCAACTCCAGATGAAGCAATACGGTATTCTCGAACTTCTCTCTGATTTCAGCTAGTTTGTTCAATATCTAGATTTTATATTTTGTATTTTATTTTTATTTCAGTTGGATTCTGGGGATTTAAATTTTACTAGTTTTGTTTTTTTTAAGCTTAACTTTTCATAATTTTTTTTTATTTTTTCAATATACTTTATCCAAATTATATTAATCCTTTTATACTTCATAAAAATATTTGTTAGAAAAAACTTTATACCTATATATCTATATATATATATATACTCAAAATGAAAAATATTACACTACTATGTGTTTGTAATTAATTATTACTAGATACCTTATTAATTAAAGATAATAATGATAAAATAGTATTTATATTTTCATTTTAAATTCTTACATAATATATTTTTTGAAAAATTAATTATAAACTATATTCATTATTACTCCCTCTGTTTTATTATAAGTGTCACTCTACAGCTGTGTACACAGATTAAGGAAACAATTAATTTTACATATTTCCTATATAAAAACACAATTACCCATATACCTAACCATTAACCAATAGAAAAACAAATTACATAATAAAATTAGTATATTTTTCATTGAAAACCGAAAGCGACACTTATTTTGTAACGCAAAAAATTTTCTATAACGACACTTAATATGAAACGGAGGGAGTAATAAATTAATATTTAATATCACTCAGTATATTTTTCAATTATATAAAATTATGAATTTTATTTTACTAATATTTAGTTATGTATTATTTGTTTTTAATTTGTAATCTTTTATTTAAATATATTGTTTTAGATAATGACCCAATACATACATGAATTATTGTTTAATTATAAAAGATATTTTTAGATTTGGATAATTCTTATTATTTTTAATTTTAATCATTTGTCTAATCAATTAAATTTCAATTTGTTTTTTTTTTAAGTTTTGGGTAATTTATATATTTTATTTTTTAAGGGTAACAACGATATTAATCAGTTTAACTTAAACGTAATATCTCGGATGCGAAAAACCACTTCACAAGTAATAATATAGATGATTGTTATATCTTATATATTAAAACAGAAGTCATAACGTTGATTCATGTGTGATTTTTTTTTAAAAATGGATTATTCCTTAGAAAGATTATGAAGATTATTAAATGTTACATAATTTAATGATAATATCTGTAAATATCTTTATATTCCTATTTAAAATACAAATGAAAGAAATCCAACAAAATCTTTTTGGCATCTTTTAAAATTGTATTTCCATAACATTACCCACATCTTTATCTTTTAGTATTTGAAATACAAATGTTTTTGTTTCAAGAAATTAAAATTTATCAAGATAGCACTATATATTTCTAAAACCTAAATAAAAAAAACTATATACTAGAGTTTGACCCACATAGATTTTTCATTTTATAAATATAACACTTAGATAGTATTATAAAAAATTAAATATATGATTTACATTTAATGGTATATATTATATAACTCTATAATGATTTTGTTTAAGTTTTTTTGTCGTCATTATTAATATATAGTAATTTATTTTATATATTTTAAATTTATACTCTTATTGATTGTTATTACTTACTAATATATTTTTGAGTTTGATACATAAACTATAATCTGAAATAATCAAATATATAATCTTCTTTAATATATAGTTTTAGTTTCAGCAATATGCATACAATATATTTTAATATTTATCTAGATATACTATAGGTAAATATTTGTTAATGATAATTTATATTTTCATGTTGTGTTTAAAAATGATACTTATTAACATCTATTATTTATTTTATGAGATTTTAAAAGTAAATATATTATTATTTATTGATAATTTTTTTTATAAACTATAAATAAAAAGAAAACCCGCACGGTTGTGCGGGTCGAGATCTAGTTGTTACATTATGTTATATTATTACAACACCATCACTTATTAAATAATACAAAGGAATCTCTATAATATTATTTGAGAAGTCAGTTTCCTATGTGTCACGCTCACGTTAACTCTCGCGATGGTTAGTTACGTAGATACCCTTAATGAATTGTTAGATTTCAAGATTATTATTATTATTTTTATTTAGTTTATTTTTTACTTTTTTCCAAATAATATATATAATAAAAAGGAAATATTTCTAAATTGTAAAAAAAAATTAAAAACGAAAATATATGTATATAATATGACTTTATTAAAAAGGAAAGTTCACAAAATAGTAATACCCCCATTAATATATATTTTTAAATAACATAAAAATATTTTCAAAATAATAAAAATATATATGTTCATGAATATTCAAAAATAATCAGTTACAATTAATTCTTTTGTAGAATTTATATATATGCATGAGACTTCAAAATATTATCATTATATATATATTTATGTAATTTTGAATCAAACACTTCAGCTTATTATTTATTTCATTTTAAGCACAATATATATTAAGTTATACATAATTTAATTATAATATATTTACATATCTAAGACAATAACCAACCAAAATAAAAATAAGAAAATTAATCAAAGTTTTATTATATTTAGAATAAAAATATTATAGTCGAATTCGAACAATAGATATTATCCAATATACGAAATTGATAACCATACCGACTATTGATCCAAAAAATAATTAAACCGACAATAATATATCCATAGTCATATGTATAATTAGAATAATATAATTATACATGTAAATTTATTCAAAACTAAAACTAAATATCAATCAATTATTATAAAATTTTACTTTTATGAATATTCATACCCGTGCATGAGCACGGGAAAATCACCTAGTAACTTAAGAAATACGAATACTAAACATCTAGAACACTTATATAGTATATTACAAAACATAGATGATAAGATTACAATAGCAAACTAGTTGAGAAATATATAACCAAAACAAGTATTTTATTTTACCCACTCTTCAAAATACATATCTGTTTATTCTATTATACAGTCGAAATAAACTAATTTTTTGAAACACGGGACGCAGTTTCAACTTCCAAACACCAAAGAGTTGGGAAACGATGAGCAGTTCTAAGCACCACGTGCCAAGTCCATGTCACGTTCCAAAAACCGTATACACTCCTCGGTGACTTTGCAAAGCGACTCGTGCGCCGAACCACCACCGTCGATGCTCAACGACATTTCTGCCTTGTCTCTCAGCTCTTTTACTCTCCTTCTCATCTCTTCACCTTCCTCCCCCGCCATAACCCTCCTCACAATCGTCTCTATCTCTGATCTAGTAGTTGCCTCCTTCAAATCATCAGCTCGGATGGCGATTCCTAGTTCCTCGCTGAGCAACGCCGCGTTCATATTCTGCTCTGCGAAAAGCGGCCACGCGATCATCGGCACGCCGCTAACCACGCCTTCTAGCGTCGAGTTCCAACCACAATGTGTTAAAAACCCACCAACAGCCCTATGAGCTAGAACTTCGGTTTGTGGGGCCCATGATGGGACCACGAGACCTCTATCGCAAGTGCGAGTTACGAAACCTTCCGGCAGATATTCTGGAGTGCTGTCTTTGTTTCCCCCTCCGTTAGCCGAGAAATAATCGCTGCAAGAAGAACCGTCGACCGGGGGTCGAACCACCCAGACGAACCGTTGCTGGCTCTGGTCGAGCCCCCAGGCCAGTTCGGTTAGCTGTTTAGCCGTTAGAGAACCGCCACTTCCGAAGGAGATGTAGAGAACCGATTCATCTGGCTGTTCATTTAACCAATCCAAAACCGGGTGATTTGTTTCCGATGTTTCTACCGGTCTGCATAGTGGACCGACCGGGTAAACCGGTACGCGAGCTACCCGGCCCAAAAGTTTTGGGTCTTGAAGGGATTTAAGTGATTTAGGCTCCATTTCATCCCACGTATTCACCAAAATGCCATCCGCTTTTGGGTAGGCCAGACAGTGGCGAACAAAATCCCGGTACAGCGGTTCGTCTGGAACCAGGTATGCGTCCATAGTATCTTCAAACTGAACCGGTTCACATCCCGGTATTTCAAGCGGTTTTCTATGTATTATATGCTCTTCTTTGACATCTTTGTCCAAAGTTGGATAATACATAGCAACCCCAAGATAACGTGCGTTGGAAGCAATCAACACATACGTCAACATATGGAATTCTGATGCTAGACTTAAAGCATCTGTCCCGAACAAGTCGATGATCAGAGCCGTTGGCTTTTGATTCATCTCAGCGATCTTGGAGCGGAGGGCTGGAACGGTTTCGCGCATAATGATTCCTATCTTGGTTACCACGTGATCCGCGGGGTTCACTAGATGAGAAATGTCTGGCAATGGAAGGTTGACGACGTCCACGCTGGTCGAGTTTAAGAACTTGGACTGAGCGGAGGCTGCGTCGGTTTCGAGGACGAAGACGGTGACGTGGAAGCCGTGGTTAGCGGAGAGACGTTTAGCCAGCTCCATCACCGGTATGAGGTGGCCCATTCCGGGACTTGAAAACATGGCAGCGTGTGGTTTTGTCATTTGCCTTGATACTTCTTTTTTTTTTTTTTCTTTACGTGTTTAGTTTCAGAGGATATGTGATGAGTTTCTATGGTAGCTCCTTTGGGTTCATTTATAGCCGATTCTATTACTACTTTAAAATAAAAACATTGATAATTTGTAAATCTAGTTTTAATTAAATAACTTTTATTGATGACCAAAATCTGTAACTTAGTATTATATATAGCTAGATATTTATTTATTTTCTTTAATATTGTAAATTAGTTATTGTATACACTTGTACAGTAGTTAGAATTAGTGAACCACTTCATTATTATAGAAGTTTCCACCGCAGATTCGTTCAGTTAGTGTGTGAGGTACATCTTTATGTTTTTATCAAACTGCAATAAAACCTTTATAAATTAATACTCAATAAATTAATAATCTCTATAAATTAATAAGTTCTCTAAATTAATAAATTTCACGGGTCCCAATTTAGACTGATTCAAAATTTGACACAAATCACTAAAATGATAAAATTTCAGAAAATTCTATGTAAATATATGGTCTCATTAAAATTATAAATTAATAATTTTGATATATACATATTTCATATAAGTAAGAACATATCATTATATTGTTTGTTTTATACTCACAATGGAATTATCTTTACATTTTCTTGACACATAATGTATTTTGATGAGATTTAGTAATATATATCTAAAATCACATTTAAATTTTAGGAAATATATATATTACATACCAAATCAGATTAAATTAATATAAATGCCAATTTTATCAAAATAAAGATTAATGTCTATACATTAAAATCAAATATTTTCTTATCTTAAAATAAATATATTTTAAAATAAAATAAAAATCTAAAAAAGGAATATTTTGTAATTAATAAAATTTCAAAATCTCAACATTATTAATTTATAGAGGTTTTAATGTATCTTAATTCATAAAACGGTGCAATGGTCTACAAATACATTTAATGACACTATATATTACCTTCCTTTTAAAAAAATGAAAAATTGTTTAACAAAGATTATTTTAAAATCTATTTTAAATACATTTATTGAGAATCAAACTTCATATATACTCCATGGTAATATACAAATACTAAGGAATTATATATTACTCATACGGGGGAAACGTTATATAATGGTAAGATTATGAGAGGGAGAAGTGTAATACAAAAATACTGAATTTAACTTAGGCGAAAATTTGCATACGATTATTGTTTTGTTATATTGTTATTATTATACTGGATTTTTTTTATATTGTTATTATTACATTTCAAATGTCGAAGAATGAAATAAATTAACTCCAACTGCAGTTTTGTAAAATAAAATTGTAGAGAAAAAAAAAACTATATGACAGTAAACTAATTTTAATATTCGTAAATCAACTATCAAATACCAAATTTTAAGTAAGTTTGTATTTTCTTGAGACCTGAATAATGTGTTAAATTAGAATATAAAAGATCAGAGATAATTGGTTGGGTTGTATCAAGTGACTTTATCTTTAAAATTTATCTATTTATCCATATAAATTTTCAATAATGTTTTAAATAGTTTTCAAAGCTAAAACCAGAAATTTTAAAAAAAAATATTACTGTACGAATAACTTTTCTTTTTTGGTTTTTTGGTTTTTTGGTTCATTGAATTTCTATGACTACATCTAAAATTTCTATAGTATAAATTTTACAGTAAAATTTATAATATAAGCCTAATCAATCACCTCCATCCTAATATTTAACTGATTGAGCGGAGTGCAGTGCACGACGGTCACTAATTGACCAGAGTGAGCAGATCTGGATTGCACAAAACAAAAGTGAGCAGATCTGGAGTTAAAAGACAATCGGAGTTTTATTTTAACTCTTATTACATACCATTCCACTCATAACACACAATTTTAATTACAATCGACACGGATAAAGTTCATAAATCTGTTACGTTTATGATAAACTAATATGAACCCATACAAATCTGTATTGTTTATCAAAACTGTAATATGAACCCATGCAACTTGATTTTTTTTTCTCTTCTATATATATATATATATATATATATGTGTGTGTTTTTGTCTGTATTTTTGCATACTATAAAAATAGGTTAATAGTTCCTGGCAAGATCTAGCTACCACCACATTTGTCCTACATAATACATTTGTTTTATGTATTATCATAATGTGTTTGTGCAAAACTATTTGAGAATTCTATAGAAAACTAACCATTTAGTCACCATATGATCGAACTCACGTTGGAGATATTGGTGGATCACATGCCCAGTATCATATATTATTTCAAATACATTAGCTAGTAATTATATTGACCTGCCGGCTGCAGTAGCATCCATACGTATGTCTGGTACTTATGAAGAAACTTGTACATACATTCAATCGGAGAAGATAAAACATTAGGCCATATATGTGTGTTTGGTTCAATGTTTTATTTATTTTTGCTAAATGTGTTTGGTTCAATGTTGAAAGTACCTAAACACCACATAACCATTTCTCTGTCTTACGAACACAAGTACTGCACCTAACCTACTTTCTCTTTTTTTTTTTTGTGTCAGCACTTCTTTTTTATATATGGATTATCATGTACTTTGATTGCTGCTAGCAAATATGTCACATTATCTGGTTGGTCCGATTTCCTGCTGCGGTCATTGATCAAGCAAACATATTGTAATATAAAAAAATAAAATGTTGGCAGTTTTAACAAGAGAAAAAAGAGAAAGAAAATCATAAAATCAATCATCCTCCATAAATCCCCATATTGCTATTTTTAATTCAAGATCACCCCTTCAAGATGCCCAAATGATCCGGTGGCAGGTGGACGGTGGATGCCATAAAATGTGTTCATTCAAAGCACATTGTATGGCGGTTAGGGAAAATCACCAACTAATCCAGAATTATAATTGGACCATTTGTTGAAAATTTCCGCTTATGATATAGTTCTATGACCAATATTTTGATTTTTTTTTCCTCCTGCTATCGCCGTCACAACGTAATATATTCCCCAGTGACCTCACATAACAAATATTTAAATTATCAAATTGCTAAGTCAAGACACTAAAACAAAGTTGAATGGCTCCATGCAAAATGGTTAAAAAGTAAACTCTAAGGAAGGAGATTGTCAAATTAATCATAAATTAAAATCGGAGGTAAAACTTACTGCTTATTTATATACAATGTGTAACTTCTAACCAAATATATATATATTCTACATGCTTCCCACTCCCACGATAATGAAACAAAATATATAATTGTTAAATGGTAAGTCAAGGGCGATCTCGGGCTTACGTAAATAGTTCACCTAGATCATATCAGTGGTTTTTAATATAGAGTGGTCTCACTTGGGCTCTGATAAGATATGGTCCTCTTAGTTAGTTTCTCAATTAAATTATTCTTGTAGTCTTTTTTGATATGATTGAATAATTGATCTTTAGTATTTGAATACTTGGCGCGGCCGTCGTTAGCAAACATTACACAACTTAAAGAAATTGCAAGGAGGCGGTCCAATTGATCTATTCTATATGTCACAATGTCACGCTCACGCACCCCCAATCAGTCTACCACCTGCTACGATTATAGGTTACTATTTTCTTTCTTTGAAGTTTTTTTTTTCTTTTGGTAAAATTCTTTCTTTGAAAGGTTGATATAGAAAATCATGTAAATTGGAGTTTGGACTATATTCTAAAAAAAAATTGTTTAATTGAAAAATACCGTATAAACTTACGTGTATACTAAGTTAGAAGAGCTAAAATTATAAATGACCAACAAAATGTTTAATCTGGTAATAATAACTAAAGAGTCTGACACTATGAAACATACTGAAGCCCGTCTAACTTTTATATTTCATATAGGCCCATTATTTTAACAAACCTTTTAAGTGATCGTATTTGCCCAGCTTAATATTTCGAGCAGTAAGAAGGCGACGTCGTTTACGGTACGTGATTGTCAACGCCTGGTGTTGGCTACGATCATCGTCGGGTCTGCTTCTAGGCCAGGGCAATCGGGGAACCAATCGGGTTTCGGTTTGCATCCAATTGAGTTTCGGATTTACGAAATTCAACCCCATTCAAATATTATAAAAGTTCGGTCGGGTATCAGTCCGGATTTTATCGGGTTCGGTTCAAATTTTGTAACTTTAACTAAACTTGATTGAACCCAAAATATTTAAGGATTTTGGTTCTTAAACGATTGTTCGGTTCTTAAGCACTAGCTTGTACTCGGTTTGACTAAAACAAAGCATGATGATCAGCAAAAGAAAATCTACTAGTGGTGTTATTAGTTAAGTGTCGCATGAATCTGATTTAACTGTGAATTGTATTACACTAACAAAACAAACATTTGATTCATTTCCATCTTTTTGATATTTTGCTGGGTCTTCTGATTTCATAGTTACATGTATGCCGATCAATCTAACCTAGTTATTAACAAACTGAGCTAAACTCAACTAAAAAATAATATTTAAATCTGAAAACTTTTGATTAAACAATACAGAGAACACACAAATATATAATGTGACACAAAGGTGAAAGACAAAAGAGGCTACGATCAGACATAGGATGTAATCAATTGGTGGTCGGATTTTAAACCGATCCGAACCGACATCCATTATAACTCAAAATAGGAACCGTTTGGTTTATTAAGAAGATCCGAAACCGACCCGTACCGGCTAAATCGAACCGGACTCGGATCGGTTGATGGGTTCTTGGATATATTGCCCACGCCTATCTGCTTCTATCGAAGACTAGTCTAGTGGGTCACTCATTCTAAAACCGTGAAAGAACCTTATAGGTCCGTCGAAAATACATACGATGAACCTCTCGAGATCCGTCGCATTGATCTCATTATTCCTTCTTCCGTTGCTTAGCTTCTCTTTCTCCGTCGATAATCCGACGGATCGGCGTGTTCTGGTTCTTCTCGAGGATCTATCGCTTAAATCCTCTCATTCGATCTTCTTCAACACTCTGAAATCGCGTGGATTTGATCTCGATTTCAAGCTAGCTGAAGATTCGAAGCTCGCGCTTCAACGGTACGGCCAGTACTTGTACGATGGCCTCATCATCTTCGCCCCCTCCACAGAGCGTAAGATCTTCGATCCCTGTTAGCTATATATGTTTTTGGATGCGATCTGGACATTTTAGGTTTCTCATTTGATTTTGTTATTATAGGATTTGGAGGATCGTTGGATTCGAAATCAATAGCTGATTTCGTTGATTCGGGTCGTGACTTGATCTTATCGGCGGATACTTCTGCTTCTGATCTGATTCGTGGGATTGCATTAGAGTGTGGGGTTGATTTCGATGAGGTTTTGTCTCTCATCTTCTTCATTGGAACATAGATGATAGATAGGATTTTGATTTTATTAGCTATTTATTTATTTTGTCTCCGTAGGATTCTTCAGCAATGGTAATTGATCATTCCAGCTTCTCCGTCTCTGATGTTGACGGAGACCACACCTTGGTTGCTGCTGATGATTTAGTTAAATCCCAAGTCATTCTAGGCAAAAACAAGATTGAGGTGACTAATACTCATTAACTCTCTTGTATGCTTTTGATTTTAAGATAATGTATTTTAAAATATGGGATAGCTAAAGTAGATTTCATTATGTGTTTGGTTTTTGGATAATAGGCTCCTGTTCTCTTCAAAGGGGTTGCACATTCATTGAACCCTACCAACAATCTGGTGAGTCCAAGAAATGATGTCTATAAGTTTATAATATTAATGTGTATTCTTATGAATTACTATGTATTTGATGTGAGCATTAACTTTTGCCAAATTTGTGTCTCTTGCTCTGTTGCTAGGTTATGAAAGTTCTCTCAGCTTCTCCCTCAGCTTATTCAGCTAACCCGAGCTCGAAGTTGACGAGTCCTCCACACCTCACTGGCCCTGCAATCTCGCTAGTGTCAGTCATGCAGGTTTGTCTCTCTTCTGTCACCAGATATATTGTATATGAACCCTTGGATAAGTACATGTTACTGTTAAGTCTCAACGATTGGCTGTACTCATCACTACGCTTGTGAAGATTATTTTCATTTGGTGGGTGGATTGAGCTCCCAGGTTTTGATGTCTGTTTTTAAAAACTGCAGGCCAGGAACAATGCTAGAGTTGTGATCTCAGGCTCGTTGCAGTTGTTTAGCGACAAGTGAGTAGTTTTTTTAGTGGTATCTCCCAAGCAATTCATGCATATGGATGTTTTTATTCAGAGATTCTGTTTGCATGCGGCAGGTTATTCAGATCTGGTGTCCAGAAAGCTGGGAGTCCAAACAAGTAAGTAGGCACATATCATTAAGTGAAACTTCTGGTTCATATGATCTGTAGCTATAAATATTTAAGGATTAGCGGTCCGATTGGTAATGGCTGTAACTTTAAAATTTTTGCTGTAGAAAAAAATCTGTAGACTTTTTGCTTTGGTTTTAGATTTTATTGCTGTAGATTTTTTGGAAAGCACTAAAAATTGCTTTGAATATTTGGCTCTGCAGAGCACTAGTATAGCTATAGGTCATTTCAAGAGCTGTGGTTTCAAAAAAAAAATTAAAGCTTGATTACTCGGAATTTAGTGCCTACAGCAACTATCAATCACCCTAGTTTTTCAAATGATAGATGTTATGCTTTGTTTTGAAATAGGATTAACTGATCGTATGTAAAAACTTTGCCAGATATGAAAAATCTGGCAACGAACAGTTTGTGACTGAACTAAGCAAATGGGTCTTCCACGAAAGAGGGCATCTGAAGGTATACGCAGAGTCTTATCATTTTTTTTTGCTCTTTCCTCTAAACCTTGGTAGCTAGAGATCTGTTTGACATTTTTACCTTCACGGGTACGTTCCTCACCTAGCTTATTGTGTTCAGGCTGGTAGTCTTGTGCACCATAGGGTTGGAGAAACAGATGAGCCAGCAATATATAGGATAAAAGATGACCTGGTATGGTTTCTTCTACATCTCCTGACCCACCCAAAGTGATAATTGCCTTTAAGTTTAGTGTGCATCTTCGGGAAGCTTTTAATGTGGCTATGATTATGGCAGGAATTTTCTGTGGAGATACTGGAGTGGTCAGGGAAGAGCTGGGAACCGTATGTAGCTGATGATGTGCAGGTTCAGTTTTACATGATGAGCCCATATGTTCTGAAAACCTTGTCAACAGACAAGAAGGTGTGACTTATTTCTGAGCTCCAAAACTTCTCTTTTTTTTTTTGTTAGGACTTGTAAGTTTCTTCCATCTTTAGAAGTTAGAACTCAGCCTGCTTGGTGTTGCCTAATTGTGCAGGGTCTGTTTCATACATCATTCAAGGTTCCTGATGTGTATGGTGTATTCCAGTTTAAGGTTGAGTATGAAAAGCTCGGCTACACTACATTATCTCTTTCAAAGCAGGTGAGTGACCATCTCTTCAGAATTCTTTTGCTAACTTTGTAGATAAAAGACATGAAAAAATTAACGCGGGCAAATTATATGTATATGCAGATTCCTGTGAGGCCTTACAGACACAATGAGTACGAGAGGTTTATACCAACTGCGTATCCTTACTATGGAGCCTGCTTTACCACTGTAAATCCCATACTTCCATCCTCTCTTTCTTTCACACACTTACAGACTGATAAAGGAGCTAAAACATAATCTTTTGGTTCTTCAAAATGCAGATGGCAGGTTTCTTTGTCTTCAGCTTCGTCTACCTCTACCATAAGTAGAAAACCGCTTGAATAGTTTATCCTTATAGTCGCATAAAGACAGAGCTTCATATTTAGATGAAACAAAAACATTTGAATCATGTTTTTTTGGCAACAGGCTTTAGTCAAACACATGAACCCTTTTTTGTTCCCCAGATATTTTTATGTGAACGTACTTCTCTTCTCTCTATTCCCTTTTAGTATATCCGAGGGCAGGTCCATTTAAGACCCGTAGACAAATGATCATTCAGTTTGCGGTTAAGCAATTCGAGGCGTGGGTTTATCCAAAATTCATAAAGCAAATAGACTAGTAGTAGTGGTTCTTGGTTTCTTAATATTGACCAGCACTGGTGTAAGACCATGAATGTTGACATCGAGCTCTCTTGATCCCCACCTGATATAATATGATTTGACAGTCCAACAAACTCGACCAAGTCGAGACGCAATACATTTTATATTTTTATTAACAACTTTGTTCCACAAAAAAACATATCAAAAGACCCAATCCATCTACAAGGTTGGCTAACTGTTGTTTACATTTTTATTATTAACAACTTGTTCCACAGGATAACATATAAAAAGAACCCAATCGTAGTAGGTTGGCTAACTAACTTGAACACGAAGACTCATCACTCAATCGGTCTCTTTCACCACTCTCTTTGACTCTCAGAGCAAGTAAAGACATGAGCTCAATCATTCAGAGGTACTTACTCGCCTCTCTCTCTCTCTCTCCCGAGAATCTTGACGTTGAGCTCATGATCCCGGCCTGGTACTATTATATTTTGACAGTCCAACAAACTCAATCAAGTCGAGACGCAATACATTTATTTTATGTATTAACAACTTGTTCCACACGAAAACATATATTACAAAAAAAGACTCAATCATAGTACGTGTCCATGTACAAGGTTGACTAACTGTTGTATATATGCTGGTCAGAACACAAGCAATCTCAAAATCCTCCTCTGTTCCAAGTTTTCAGGTAATTTTCTGCTCATCTCTCCTTTTGCCTTTCAAAGTTTTCTTCTTAATCGGTTATTTTTTCTCCCGGTGCATACAACAAAACTATGTCTCCTAAATCATTGCCTTTTTTTTTTTTTGCAGTAACAACACAATCAAATGTCGGTCTGTGGTGGACCCTCCTCTCCTCTCATGAAATGTATCACACCAAACGAACCAAACACTTCCCCGGTCCGAACAGACGTGCGGTCAAAATACTCATCATACCTCAAGTACTACACATCCGCTTGTCAACTCGACCCTGACCTCAAGAACTTTGATTCTTCACATTACGAGCGAATCGCCAGTGTCATAAATACGCTAGCTGATCAAGCGGCAAAGTCTCAATCAATATCCCAAGGCTCACTCATGGATGCGTACGAGTGTCTACTTGACCTAAACAGAGATGTAGTAATGAAGATCATCGATAGCAAAGAAGATGTGAGGAAGAACAAAGACCTGAGATCTTTGGTTCATCTCTACTTCAAAAACTCCTCCAAGACCTTAGATCTCTGCAACACCATCGAGAACTGCGTCAAGAGAGCAGAAAACAGCCAGCGTATCATCCGACAAGCAGTGAATCAGTTCGAGGATGAATCTGTGGGCGCCGAAAGTAAAAAGAACAAGTACGCAAAAACCTTGGAGGAGCTGAATAAGTTCAAAGCCATGGGAGATCCTTTTGACGGAGAGTTCTTGACTCAGTACGAGTCTGTGTACGAGGAGAAGGTTCTGCTTCTGAATAAATTGTCTAAGCTGAGAGCAAAACTCGATAAGAAAGAGAGGAATGTAAAGATATGGAGGAGACTTTCCAATATTGTTTTCATAAGTGCGTTTGCCTCCCTTCTTCTCTTATCTGTGTTAGCAGCAGCACTGACCGCACCGCTAGTGTTGACTGCGGTTGTCGCTGGATTATCCAGACCGATTGAGATTGTCGGAGAATGGTGTAACGAGATGTGGAAAAATTACGAAAAGGGTGTCAAGAGTCAGAGGGCGTCGGTTTCAACGGTGGAGAATGATACGAAAGATGATAAAATAGCAACGGAGACCATAAGAGAAGAAGTTGAAAAGGTGAGAAAAAGGATCTCGGATATACTGGAGAGTGTTGAGTTTGCTGTGGAGAGAGAAGAGGATGAGTTGGCGACGAGACTTGCGATGCAAGCAATCAAGAAAAAGATAGATGGGCTTACGGATGAAATCAAGGAAGTTGGTCAACATGCGGCTATGTTTCGCGACGGTGTTGCTTTGGGGAGACTTGTGGTTCTCACTCACTTCTTTAGCTTACCCAACTCCAGGAATGGGATCTTCCATAAAATCACCAGTGGCATATCAAAGTTCTGGAGCAGGTTGTTCACTAAACCCTAGGGCTTTTAAGTTGGGCTTCTATCATTTGTTATGGGCTTTTGTGCGTGCCTTTTCAGGCCCACCATTGATTGCCCATTCGAAAGCACTGATTTTCTTTTAAGAAAAGAAGACATGTGTGTGTGTGTGTTTTTGTTGCATTCTCTTGCATTTTAATTTGATATTGTACCATGAAACTTTCAATTCAAGAAGATATGTCATCTTGTTTTTATTCATTTTTATAAAGATCATACTTTGTGTCATGTGTGTTTACAAACATTAGCATGGTAATCAGGATTATAGAAAGAAAAAATCATGATAAATATATATATCTTGGGACTGAGTTACACCCGCCAGTGAAGAGAATCGTTTACTTGGAAATTACTACTGTATGAATTAACGGTCAAGGTAAGGGGAGTAAGATGATGAAAACAAACAAGTAAGTAAGCTCAACTAGCGAAGGTAGCTTCGTAAAAACAAGTAAGAATCAGACCTTCATGAATACAGACTCTACGGTCAACTAGTAGTAGTTAGTAGACACAGGGGCGCATGATTTTGAAGTATAGTAGTTACTCATATATGAGTGGCAGATAGTCATAAAATAAAAATAGAGTTTCGACTTTAATTAGGTTAATAAGAGCCTGAAAAAAGTCAAAACTCGCTAATAATTGGGGAATCAACAGAAGACAGACAGAAGCAGCAGCGCATTTGTTTATCTCCTCTTCTTCCCTCCAATCAATCACTCAATAGACAGCCTGTTTAAAAATATTGACTTAAGGCGCAAGTTAGAAGGTTCCTTTGGGATGGTCCGTCTTTGTTTATAATATTTCAGTATGTGGAAGACTTTTTTTTGGCTAACATCATTGATCTTCCCCTGTCTCTGGGAACTAATCCGAAGAACTTGGATAATGACAAAAAAAAAAAAAAAACTGGTAAAAGGGAAGCATTTGGATTCATGTGTAGGGAGATTGGCCAATCCCCTCATAGTTACAAACCTTGAGGTACATGTTATTCACTCATAAAACATTAGAGCAAGAAGGAGAATCTTTTGACAGCTCTTGATCCCATCTACCTAATAATAAGTTGATTTTGACAGTCCAACAAACTCAACTAAGTTGAAACGCACTACATATTTTTTTAAACTTGTTCCACAGGAAAACATATTAAAAAAAAAAAAGACTGAATCCCTGTTACGTGTCCATTTACAAGGTTGACTAATTGTTGAACTTGAGGATATATATTAGGATTGGTCAGAATACAAGTAATCTCGACTTCATACAAGTTTTCAGGTAATTTTCTCTATCGCTCTTCAACTTCACCTAGTCTCTATCTTCTTACCTCCTTTTAATGTTTTGTTCTTAAACTCTTTTCGTTTTCAGATTATCCTCAACAGTAAACATCAGATGGTGTTATGTGGACTCTTGTCTCCTCTCATGAGTTGCATCAAACCAAACACTTCCCCGGTCCCAACAGATATGCGGTCCAAATGCTCACCGTACCTCAAATATTACACATCCGCTTGTCAACAAGACTCTGACCTCAAAACCTTTGATACTTCCCTTCACCAGCGAACAGCCAGTCTCATGAAGTTGCTCACTGATCAGGCGGCCAAGTCTGGTCAATCTATCTCCCAGGTCTCACTCATGGATGTCTACGAGTTTCTACTTGACCTAAACCGAGATGTAGTAAAGGAGATAGTCGAAAGCAGAGAAGATGTCAGAAAGAACAAAGATTTGACTTCTTTGGTTGATGTCTACTTCAAAAACACCTCAAAGACCTTAGATTTCTGCAACACCGTCCAGAACTGCGTCAAGAGAGCAGAAGAGAGTAGGCTTATCATCCGTTACGCAGTGGAAAAGTTCGAGGCAGAATCTGTGAACACGAAGAAGAAGAAGAAGTACGCAAAAACAATGGAGGAGCTGAATAAGTTTAAAGCCAAGGGAGATCCATTTGATGGAGAGTTCTTGACTCAGTACAAGTCGTTCTACGAGGAACAGGTTCTGCTTCTGGAGGAATTGAGTAAGCTGAAAGCAAAGCTAGATAAGAAACAGAGGAATGTAAAGATATGGAGGAGACTCTCCAATGTGGTTTTCATAACTGCGTTTGTCTCCGTTCTTCTCTTATCGGTGGCTGCTGCTGCATTGAGCGCACCGCTAGTGTTGGCTGCGGTTGCCGCTGGATTGAGCAAACCAATCGAGGTTGTCGGAGAATGGTGTAACGAGATGTGGAAGAAGTACGAAAAGGCTGTAAAGAGACAGAGAGACTTGGTCTCCACGGTGGAGACTGGAGCGAGAGTTAATAATATAGTGACGGATAACATAAGGATGGAAGTTGATAATCTGAGAATAAAGTTGAAATTTATTATGGAGAGTGTTGAGTTTGCTGTGGAGAGAGAGGAAGATGAGGTGGCGACGAGACTTGCGATGCAAGAAATAGAGAAGAAAGTTGATGGGCTTACGGAGAAAATCAAGGAAGTTGGTCAACATGCGGATAAGTTCAGTGAAGTCATTTCTTCGGGGAGACGTCTCGTTCTGAATCATATCCTCAGCTTACCCGCCAATTTGGTATCTTAGAAACAGAGAACTTGCAAAAGATGTATCATCATCAATGGCGGCTGAAGACTCGGGCTTTAAAGTTAGGGTTCTAGGTTTTCGTATGTGCTTTTAAGTTGGGGTTTTAAGGGCCATATAGGTTAATCCATTTGAAACGGCTGGTTTTAAAAATAAACATATATGTGTGTGTTTTTGTTGTATTTTTTTTACATCAAACAGCTGATCTATTACTCAAACAACTTGAGCTGGTCTGAGAATTCAGACCGGGATAGAACAATTAACAAACACAAACTTACGGTAAAAAGACCTAGCTGTTTTAGCTAGAGAATCAGAAACGCCGTTCTGTACTCTAAGAACATAAAAAAATTTAAATTCAGGACAGCAGGTCTTCAGCGTCTCCGATTGTTCCAGTTCTGTTGAAAAGTTAGGCCATGCATGAGGACTTCTGAGCATCTCGATCATCTCTTTACAATCAGTTCCAAAGCTCTAGTATTGTGTTCATGAATGAATTACACACAACAAGTTGAAAATGTACGTTTAGTATTGTGTTCATGAATGAATTACACACAACACACTACAAACAACTAGTAGTAGTTGGTAGACTAGGGGCGGAAAGGAGAGAATTACAAAAACAAGTTTCAGTCCCAAAGTGACATAACAAAAGTAGAAAGCTTAACGAAAAACGTAACTAAACATTTTGAGGCTTAGTCCCCACCTGACATAAATTCGAATTGACAATGCAACAAATTCAACAACCAAGTTGAAACGCGGTACTTTATGCTTTACCCTATTATTATTAACAAACTTGTTCAACAAGGTTGACTAAGTGTTGTAATATTGGATTGGCCAGAGCACCAGGTAATCTTGACATTCTCAAGTTTCAGGTAATTTTCTGTCTCTCTTCACCTTCTTACCTTCTAAGCTATTTAATGTTTTTTTTAATATTTTTCTCTGCCTTTTTTTGCAATCAGACTATCCTTAGCAGTAAATAAATATCAAAATGGTGTTCTGTGGACTCTTGTCTCCTCTCATGAATTGCATCAAACCAAACAATTCCCCGGTCTTGGCCCATATGGGGTCAAAATACTCATCAGAGCTCAAATACTACACATCCGCTTGTCAACAAGACTCTGACCTCAAGACCTTTGATTCTTCCCTTCACCAGCGAACAACGAGTGTCTTGAAGTCGCTCGCTGAACAGGGGGCCAAGTCTGGTCAATCTATATCCCAAGGCTCACTCATGAAGGTGTACGAGTTTCTGCTTGACCTAAACGGAGATGTAGTAAAGGAGATCATCGATAGCAAAGAAGATATCAAGAAAAACAAAGACCTGAGTTGTTTGGTTGGTGTCTACTTCAAAAGTACTTCCAAGACGTTAGAGTTCTGCAAAACCGTCGATAACTGTGTCAAGAGAGCAGAGATTAGCCAGCTTATCATCCGATACGCGGTGAAGCAGTTCGAAGCAGAATCGGGTGATGTTGGAGAGAACACAAAGAAGAAGTACGCAAAAACATTGGAGGAGCTGAATAAGTTCAAAGCCATGGGAGATCCTTTTGATGGAGAGTTCTTGACTCAGTACGAGTCGTCGTTCTACGAGGAGCAGGATCTGCTTCTTGAGGAATTGAGTAAGCTGAGAGCAAAGCTCGATAAGAAACAGAGGAATTTGAAGACATGGAAGAGACTTTCCTATGTGGTTTACATAACTGCGCTTGTCTCAGTTCTTCTCTTATCGATGGTTAAAGCGCCATTGGTCGTACCGCTACTGTTGGTTACGTTTGCCGATAACTTTACACCAGTGATTGAGCTTGTCGGAAAATGGCTTAGCAAGATGTGGAAAAAGCACGAAAAGGCTGTCCAGAGACAGAGAGAATTGGTTTCAACGGCGGAGACTGGAGCGGGAGTTAACTTAATAGCTACAGAAAACATACGCAATGAAATAGCTACGGTGAACATACGTTCCGATGTTGATAGTCTGAGAATAAAGTTGAAATTTTGTCGACGAGGTGATGAGTTGGCAACGAGACTTGCGTTGCAAGAAATCGCGAAGAAAGTTGAAGGGCTTACGGATAAAATCAAGGAAGTTGGTCAGCATGCGGAGAGGTTTAGCGGATTCATTGGCTTGGGGAGAAGTCTCGTTCTGCGACAGATCCTCAGCTTACCCGCCAGCTCCATCTCCTAGAAAGCCAATGTTTTGAAATATGATCCGGACCCGGTCGAACCATTAAACCGATTGAACTTTCTAATTTTCTATCATATATAATATTGTTTAAACTATTTTATTTTTGATTATTATATTTTGATGAAGATTTTACTATGTTACCTGGAAAAATGAAGTGATTGATGATCGAAAGAACTAAAATTAGTTGATGTTATTTGGTATTAGCTTATTTTGTTATCAACAATCTATTATAATTTATATTTACTTTTAGTTTATTTTAGATTTATGGACTAATTTTATTATTCACATTAGAATATAAATACTTAACTATTTTAAGTTTTAATATATTCTTAACTCTTAATTTGTTAAAAAATATTAATTAGTCTAAAGTATTTTTTGATTTTTGTATGTAAAATGAAAATAAAGATAAAAAACTAATTAATTATAATTTATATTTTCAATAGCTAATATTATTATATAAAATTTTATTTATATATTAATTCTAGTTGACATGAATTATACTTGATTAAGTTTGAACTAGAAATATAACTCATAAATGTTATCAATTAGGAATTACTTTAAAATTTTTGAGTTGATGTTTGAATTACAATGTGTTATGTTTGAGTAACAATTTTCGTTATTCATTTGGTATCTTATGTCAAAGTGACACTTATTTAGAAATGGAGGGAGTAATAATTTTAGCATGTTCACCGAAAGTTTTAACTACCATAACTAAAAGAAATATTGAAAATAATTGGCCGAAGAGTTATATATGTTTTCATAACTTCTACCCAGAGTGGCCACTGTACACATCTTAACAATAATGCGAAATTATGATGAAACTATGTACAATATTAACGTCAATTTGCCAACAAACATTAGTGAACACACTTGCAACTTCTTTTTTTTTTTTGTTAAGTGGACATAATTTTACATCCCGATCTCTTCTCACTTTTCCCCTTGGTCAATGTATATACAAGTGTTGTATGTCCGAACAGGCCCCGCTCAGATTGTGGTTGGACCTTGTGCAAGTTCTAACTTTTCAAGAACAATGAAAATAATTTGTAAAATTAGGGCCCTAAATCTAAAAATTGGCCCTTAATTCTAGCTAGATTTTCTTAATTTTTTGTTGGACCCTGTGCAAATGTGCCTTAACATGGCAAGAGCCAGCACTGTGTCCGAAGCCAGGTTCATTTAAAACCCATATACTAATAAGGGTGTTGGCTATATTTGTGGAGCACATAAATTATGTGAAAATGAACCGTGTCTTTGTACGTTCAGTACTCTGTGTTCATGAATGAATTACACACTACAAACAACTAGTAGTAGTTGCCAGTTGGTAGACTAGGCCAGGGCGGAAGGGAGACGAATTACAAAAACTTGTTTCAGTCCCAAAGTGACATACCAAAAGTAGAAAGCTTAAAGAGAAACGTAACTAAACATTTTGAGGCTTAGTCCCCACCTGACATTAATTCGAATTGACAATGCAACAAATTCAACGACCAAGTTGAAACGCGTTACTTTATGCTCTACCCTATTATTATTTACAAACTTGTTCAACAAGGTTGACTAATTGTTGAAATATTGGATTGGGCAGAGCACCAGGAAATCTCGACATTCTCAAGTTCCAGGTAATTTTCTGTCTCTCTTCACCTTCTTACCTTCTAAGCTATTTAATGTTTTTTTTTAAAATTCTCTGCCTTTTTTCAGTCAGACTATCCTCAGCAGTAAATAAATATCAAAATGGTGTTCTGTGGACTCTTGTCTCCTCTCATGAATTGCATCAAACCAAACACTTCCCCGGTCTTGACCCATATGCGGTCCAAATACTCATCAGACCTCAAATACTACACATCCGCTTGTCAACAAGACTCTGACCTTAAGACCTTTGATTCTTCCCTTCACCAGCGAACAGTGAGTGTCATGAAGTCGCTCGCTGAACAGGGGGACAAGTCTGGTGAATCACCATCCAAAGTCTCACTCATGGAGGTGTACGGGTTTCTACTTGACCTAAACGGAGATGTAGTAAGGAGAATCATCGATAGCAAAGAAGATGTCAGTACGAACAAAGAACTGAGTTCTTTGGTTGATGTCTACTTCAAAATCACTTCCAAGACCCTAGATTTCTGCAAAACCGTCGATAACTGTGTCAAGAGAGCAGAGATTAGCCAGCTTATCATCCGATACGCGGTGAAGAATTTCGAAGCAGAATCGGTGGACACGGATGATCTTGAACAAAATATAAAGAAGAAGAAGAAGTACGCAAAAACATTGGATGAGCTGAATAAGTTTAAAGCCATGGGAGACCCTTTTGATGGAGAGTTCTTGACTCAGTACGAATCGTCCTTCTACGAGCAGCAGGCTCTGCTTCTGGAGGAATTGGGCAAGCTGAAAGCAAACCTCGGTAAGAAACAGAGGAATGTAAAGACATGGATGAGAATTTCCAACATTCTTTTCATAACTGCGTATGTCTCCATTTTTATCTTGTCGGTGGTTGCTGCGGTAATGAGCTTCCCACCAGTAGTGTCTCCGATTATCACTGGATTGACCAAACCGATCGAGTATGTCGAAGAATGGTGTAAGAAGATGTGGAAAAAGTACGAAAAGGCTGTCAAGACAAAGAGAGAATTGGTTTCAACGGTGGAGACTGGAGCGAGAGTTAATAAATCAGCTACGGATAACATACGAGACAAAGTTGATATATTGAGAAAAAGGATCTCGGATATACTGGAGAGTGTTGAGTTTGCTGTGGAAACAGAAGAAGATGAGTTGGCGACGAAACTTGCGATGCAAGAAATAGAGAAGACAGTGGATGGGCTCACGGATAAAATCAAGGAAGTTGGTCAAGGTGCGGCTAGGTTTAGCAGTTCCATTGGCTTGGGGGAAATTCTGGTTCTAAAACACCCTCAGAAAGACCGTGCTTTAAAATCCAACCCGGACACTAGGTTGAATTTTCTAATTTCTTAACACATATAATATCGTTTAGACTATATTAAGATTTTTATATTTTGATGAAGGTATGCTATCTGAAAAAAATGAAGTGAATGATGATCGAGATAATCCAAATAATTGATGTGATTTGGTATTAGTTTATTTTTATTATCGACAATTTATAATAATTTGATATTTGTTATTAGTTTATTTTGGATTTAAGGTTTAGTTTTATTATTCACACTAGACATTTTAAAATGAAAATAGAGATCAAGAAACATATAATATCTCTTGTATTTTATAATTTTTGATATATTTTTATTATATGTCATAATTTTTAACTTTTTACAGGAATTATTAAATAATCTAAATTATTTTTAATATTTTATATGTGAGAAGAAAAATAGAGATCAAGATTTATGTAATATCTCTTATATTTTTAATAGATAATATATTATTGTATAATAAAATTAATTAATTATTGTTCGTCTGTGGTCGATCCAATAATTTAGTGATTCGGAAAATTGTTTAGTCAGCCGGAAAATTGTTTGGTTTAGTGTACATGTCGGGTTTTTTTTATCAAACACAATTTCATTCATACTAAAAGTCTTACACTCCATTAGAGGAATATGAGTTTAGCAATGAGATGGCTGATTTTGCCACCGAATTAGTCATCACATTACTCAAACGAGGTACATACGGCGGCATACATAACTACCGAACGAATGGCGAGGACCTCAACCATAAACACCAATGATATGAGAATACGAGAGGTGGAGATGGGAGAGGGGCACACGCTCAGTCCCTCACCCAAGAATACGCCACATGTCCCGTAGTTTCTGGTTCCTGCATCCCAAACTCCATCAACGTTGCAAATAAGAGTATCAGCTGGGGGGAGTGGGAGACGTCCTGCGTGTGAGCTCTCGGAACCTATGGAGCCATGGTGCTTTTTAAAGCCCTAGTCGCCGGCTTTAAAAAGCATTAATAGAAAGGTGAGTTGCAACAAAACCATCAATTAAAGCTGTTGAGCATGTTGTTCATCCACGACTAGGGCTTTCTGTGTGTTAGACTATTTAGCCGATGTATGTTGTCCATTTAAAGAACTTTTAAAAATAAAATAAAAACATAATAAATATGTGTGTCAATGTGTCTTTGGTTGCATTCTTCTTTTTCTAGATATTTTATGATCCGTTTATAATGTACTTATTACTATAAAATAGATTGATAATCACATTGATTGATCCAAATTTGGAATGCGTTCCAATTAATATCAAAAGGTAGACTAATAATATTTACAGTCCATCGTATTAACCACTTAGACAAAAAGCTAAACCCAAATCCTTTTTTTTTTTGTGAAAAGCTAAACCTAAATCCAAACTAACCAAATAATAGTTTAGTTTCCAAAAGAATTGTATCTAAAATTGATGTGGATATACCAAACCCCCAAAAAATTATTACTAAGCTATCACTACTTACTAGTTGATTTTAAATTGTTATTGTATCACAAAACTTTCAAGGCAAATAGATTATCCAACGAATAACTATATTATCATGCTTTTATTCCTTTTGTTGATTTATATATGATCATTGTACTTGTGTTATGCAGTGCCGGCTTTTGGAGAGTGTCCAAGATGCACATGCATAGGGTTCTTTAATTTTCTAGAAAATTTCTTATAAGAATTATGGTTCTAGATTGTAAAACAACACATAGATTAGGGCCCTAATTTATAAATTTAAAGAGATATAACTATAGTTTTTTGGAGAAAAAAAATTGTGTGCACAGGGCCCATAATGTATTTAAGCCGGGCCTGGTGTCATGTGTGTTTACAAACATGGCAATCAGGAAAATATAAGTTTCTTGAAAGAAAAAAGTGATAAATATCGTTTCACCTTCTTGTGAAGAGAATCGTGTACTTGGTAAATTGAAAAGTATTATAAATTAACGGTCAAGGAAAGGGGAATGGGATGATTAATAAACAAGTCAAGGAAAGGGGAGAGGGATGATGAATAAAAACAAGTAAGTAGGCTTCTTCGTTCAACTGGGGAAGGTAGCTTCGTAAAAAGAAAAGAATCCAACCCGTTCTTCTTCTTTATTACTACAGTATTATTAATTATGAAAAAAACAACCAACGAAAATGAAAAAAGACAGACCCCACAAGATATTCAAGTAGTTGGAGCCTCTCGTGAGTGTTTGGTAAACAAACCCTCCTTAGGTATCAACTCCCCCAACACACTCTCTCACACACACACACTCATCAATTCCAAACTCTCCTCTTGCGTTTACGTGGCGACTCGTTTACGTGTGTCCTCCAATACATTTATTATTTACTCAACTGCTCTTCGTATTCCACCTTTCCCGTGTAGTTGTCTTCTTTTTGGTTTATACATTTGAGATTCTACGAAACGCAGGTCAAACTGTTCAAAAACTCATTAATTCTACGTCAGTTTTACGTTAATGTGACCTTAAATATAAGATTATCCCTTGTTCTAAAGCATATTCTTAAAAACACTTTCTTCTAATTATAAAACTACACTATATACCATTATACGTACACACATTACATCCCCAGCTTTTTTTTGGGTCTAAATGTTAAGATGACATCCACAATGTTTTGTCTTACTAAACATGCATGTACCATTGAGATTTTCTTTTTGTAAAGATGGCGACAACTGCATATTCTCAAACAATACATTAGGATTCTGTCGCTGGTGCCCAAATACTTGAATATTTTCCAATTGGCTTTGAAAAATAACTCTCTAATATATAAACCTAAATAACAAATAAAAACACACAGAGATGATGCATGCACTTATCTAAATCTACGTGTTATATATATGGAAACACCGGATTTAGAAGATAATACACTTCTCAATCATAAACTCGTTTGACTATAATGACGATTTCACATAATCAAAAGGGGTATTTATTAACTATTTTAGTAATTTTAATTGCTAAAATCATAATAATAAATAAACAAAAATAGAAAGCAGAGTGGACAAAGATGACTGGTCTAGAAGACTTCGCGTGTTAACAAGATTTTCTGCGAAGATTGGACGGCAATGCATGGCGAGTCGCTTATGACGTCGAAAGCTTAGCTTTCCACGTGTACGATCATCACCAGCATTAGCTTACCCATTTAATGTTAATTCCCGTGACATGATGATCTAATCTTAATTTCACTAATCGTCTCTTATTGTATCATTAGATAATTCGCTCAGTTTAATTACACAGACTCGCCAAACATGGATATTTTTTTATTTTGTTTCGTCTAATAATTTTGAGTTGATGTGCAATATAAAAATCATATATTATTATTATTATTATTACTATTGTACATGTGTTTAGAAATGTGAATAAAATTCTTCATTTGTCAATGTTTTATAGTCTTCTTTTGTATATCAGACATGTATAATGAGTGTAATCACACGAATGAATAAACAAATTGCATTATCTCTTAGCAAAGAAAAAACAAATTGCATTATTGCACATAGACATTTGAAGGATCTATTGGTTTTGTCAACTATCCATAAGGTATTAGCATCGTTGATTAAATATTAAAATAGAGTATATAGCTAGCTGTATCGTAGTCATAATTAACGTTTAAAATAGTTTTAATAAGATGATAAATGGATAACGCCTATGTGTAATTGTCGTGTTAAAATATCGGTGATAATATGCTGTTTCTTGGGGGCTTCTCCTTTATTTGCGTCTCGTTGCTCTTTGAACCTAACGCCAATACTATAAAAGGCAGTTCCAAGTCTTCACTTTTTAATATCGGACCAAAGCGTGTTCTCTGTTCTGTCTCTCCTTCCTCCCTAAAAGCAAAACTAATTCTTTTTTTCTTTTTTCTTTTTAACATAGCTTTAGAGATCGACGATGGCGTCGAAGAAAACACTAGTTAAAAATCTCTTCAACATTTCCAAAACCTATTCCCGGATTTCGGGTCTTACCCGAATGCGTCCTCCGACCAAACCCGGCATTACTCCAGACGCCGGAAATTCTGGAATTCGCCGGAGATTTCTCCACAAGAGGGCATTTTTCTCGCCGGAGATAGTTCCAAGAGGAGGTAATCTGATGGAGAAACTCAAGGAGATGAGTTTATCAAACAACCGTCTCCGCCTTGACGAGATGTTACCGCCGCCGACGCCGGAGAAGACGTCTCCGGAAAATTTTCCCGCGGTTACGGTGGAAGACGTTAAGAAGCTTATGAGAGCAGCGGAGATGGAGATGGTGAAATCGAGGCTGAGAGACATCGGAAAAAACTGGGTTCCTTATTCGGAGTTTGTTCGGGTATGCGGAGAAAACAACTCGGATCCTGAACATGGTAACCGGGTCGCGAATATGCTTGACAAAGCAGGAAACGTCATCGTTTTGGGAAATTTGGTCTGCCTTAAACCGGAAGAGGTAACTTTCTTTTTTTAAATTAGTTACATGCATGCGTTACACAGATTTACAATGAAATAAAAAATCTAACGTTTGTTTCTTAATTTGTATGATTTATTACAGTTAACAAAAGCCGTGGCTGGTCTAATTCCGACACACGAACCCAACACCGCGACAAAACAAGAGTTCGAGAAACTCGAGATAATAAAATCAGATATCGACAAAAGAGCCGATGATCTGGTACGACGAGAATTACAGGCCGGATTAGGCCTTGTTTTAGCCCAAACGATTGGATTTTTTAGATTAACGTTTTGGGAGCTGTCGTGGGACGTGATGGAGCCCATATGTTTCTTCGTGACTTCCACCTATTTCATGGCTGGTTACGCCTTTTTCCTCCGCACCGCCAAGGAACCTTCCTTCGAAGGGTTTTACAAAAGCCGGTTCGAGACCAAGCAGAAACGTTTGATTAAAATGCTTGACTTTGATATCGACCGGTTCACCAAACTAAAGAAGATACACCGTCCAGACTTGACTTATTCAGCTGGTCGTTGTTGATCCTAATCCTTTTTTGTTCTCTTCTAATTTCGGAATTCTAATTAAATGTATAGACCTCTTAACGTTCTTTAGAGAATAAAAATCAAAAATATTAGATGCACGTCGTGTTCTTTCTTGCTTGACCATAAATATAGCACATTAATACAGAAACCAATCGGGTCTTAAACGATCACTAGACCAATAAAACTAAACCACTTGGAAACAAGCATGACAGAAACGTTTAGGAGTTTTCAAAATACGATTGCGTTAGGAGTTTTCAAAATACAATTGCGGTAGAGATTGTAGACTCTAGTGATATCTGTTGAACTAAAATTCCACACATGACCTTTCAACGCCAAACGCAGAACGCTACCATTATTATTATTGCCTTCCTCTTCGCAGTAACTGCTTTCTTCAACCGCAGCCGCCTCTTTTCGCTTCTCTTCTCTCCAGAGACTCCTCACAAGCAGCTCTTTAGTCTCTCTGTCAGGGATCAGATTCAAGTCCTTCATGTCTTGGAACACTCTAAAAGCAAGCACTGATCTTTCGCATCTGCAATAAGCTTGGACAAGAAGCTTCAACATGTAAGGATCTGGCTCCAGACCGATCTGTCTCACCATTGAGAAAAGTCTCTGAACTGTCTGAATCTCTCCCTGCAACGCAAAGTGATACATTAAACCCGAAAACGTCTGGATATCAGGAGACACTCCGGTAGAAACCATCTCTTCTAGCGTTTCCAGAGCTTCTGCGTTTCTCTTGCACTTTGTTAACGTTCTCAAGAGTGATGAATACAAGAGCATGAGGTTGAAACCCGAAACTGAACCACCGCAGAGTGTTCTGTCGTGGCGGAAAACCTTTATGGCTGCTTCTGGTTTCTTTGAAACTCCGTAGAGATCAATGATCAGCCTGATGGTGCTGAATGGTAGTTTGATCCCTTCCATTCTTACTTTAGAAATGAGCTTATCAACCAGCTCAACCTGCCCGTTGCGTGCTAACATAGCCATCATTCTCTCGATCGTGTAGGCGTCATGTGTGAAACCAGGCTGAACCGCCACCCAGCAGAAGAAACTCCATGCCGTTTCATGGGATCTAAAGTTCCTCAGCATCTTGCAGACCAAAAGATTAGTCCAGACGAAGTTAGCTTCTTCCAAAGCAATGACAGTATCAGAGTTCCACTTCTTTAACGAATTAGCTAAAGCTTTTGGATCCAGCCATGGCTTCAACTTCACTTGATCATCATTAACATCATCATCTTCTTCGTTATCGCTGGGATTGTCCATGGAATAATGCACAGAAATGTCTTTGATTCTCTCATCAGGCAACATCTCTCTCAAAAACTCTTCAGTCTCTTCCTCAAATCCAGCATCTCTCATCCTTTTGAGAGGCTCAAGCATGCGTCTACTCGGGAACTTCCCATCGGATTTCATCTCAGAAAGCAGAGTCTTGACTTGATCAAACCTTTGAGCATCAACAAAGGCTTCAACAAGAAGAGAGTAATGCTTAAGAGTTCTTGTAACTCTCATCAAAGGCAAGGTCTCGAAAACCTTCATGGCAGCATCAAGATTCCCTGATTTCAACAGATGCTCAATCATAATCGTGAAGGTTCTTGAATTAGGGATCCTTCCATCGTTAATCATCAGATCAAAAGTCTGCACAGCCTCTGAATCTTTACCTAAACTCACGTAAACTTGCATCACAATGTTGTAAGACTCGGTGCATCTTTTCTCCTCCTCTTTGGAGGATATATACTCGTTCTGCCAGGTCTTGAGAACGGAGTCGAAATCGCCGGAGGTTGCATACAAGTTCATGAGATTCATAAAGCTGAAATGATGAACATGGCGGAATTTGCCAGCGTGGACAAGTGCGATAAGAGATTTGAGGTGTGAAGATTGGTGGAACTTTGCGAGAACGGTGGCGAAGGCGTGGAGTGTTTCGGTTTCGTATGGAGAATGAGGGTTGATCTTGCGGAGGGATTTGAAGATGGACCAAGCGGAAGAGAGGGAAGGGGAGGAGCGTAGAGCGTTTTTGAGGACGAAGGAATCGAGGAGACGGTGGTTTAGAAGAGTGGTTAGGTCGGCGGGATCTGTGGAGCGGAGGGAGAGGCGGATAGAATCGATGAGGTTGGCTCGGTAAAGGTAGTGTTGGAGTTTGTTTGGGAAGGGGTCACGGGAGAAGGATCGGATTTGATGGGTCCTAATTATGGAGTGGAGTGGCTTCACAGAGTTGGAGAAGGTCTGAGAAAACATGTCAAAGTGTGAGAAAGGCAAACTAGGGGGATGGGGATGAGACAAATGGTCGAACAGCTGGTGTGCATTCGTCAAAACGAGCAAGACTGCCCCAAAGACAATACAAATTCGGCGGTTAGAAACTATTTATATAAGAATATTTATAACTAGGGAAATGAAGAAAATTGATTTTTGAGAAGCATCTCCTTTAAAAGAGTTTGAATCCAATGGAGGATACAACTGCTAAAGGTTCCAACTTTACCGGGAAACTAAGAGAAAAAAAGAAACGGTTTGCACACACACACAAGCTTTTTAAAGTAAAGAGAGAAGGCAATAGTATTGTTTGGTAAAAGGCTAAAACAAAACTTAGAAGCTGGGATCATCTGTCTTTCTTCTTCAACCCCGGAGGCGAACAATCACTTTGAGTGTTTCATGGAGGTTGGAATTGCTCACCATCTCGTTAACATTTTTGAACCCCACACCATAGACCCGTGAGTCATCTGTTTATCTTTACTACTCCAACGTCTCCTTTATTCTCAGCTTTGGATTTGCTCCAACAAACCCTCCCTAATCTAAGCTTGGTGAAAGCTTAACTTATCTTCAACTGAGCAATCTCCAAGCTTGCTCCTTAGCTCCTCAAACGCTTCTCGACTCAATGCCTTAGTAAAAATATCAGCCACTTGTTCTTGTGAACTACAATGTTCAAGGTTGATCTCTCCATTGTTGACAAGGTCTCGCAGAAAATGAAAACGAACACCAATGTGTTTGCACCTCCCATAAAAAACAAGATTCTTAGAAAGCTTGATAGTTGATGTATTGTCACACATGATCTTCGTACTTCCACTAACTTCATACCCTAACTCTTCTTGAATTCTCTTGAACCAAATTGCTTGACAAGCACACACTGATGCAGCAACATATTCAGCCTCGGTGGTGGAAAGTGTAACTATTGGCTGTTTTTTAGACAACCAAGCAACTGCAGCTTCATCCATCAGAAACACATATCCTGATGTACTTTTTCTACTGTTGATGTCACCAGCAAAATCACTATTTGTGTAGACCAAAACGTCACCAGCTCCTACTCTTTTGTACCAGATCCCAGAATCCATAGTCCCTTTTAAGTATCTCAGAACCCTCTTCGCTGCTTGCATATGTAATCTTGTAGGACTGGACATGAAGCGACTTAAAAGACTTACAGAGAATTGCAGGTCTGGTCTTGTAATTGTGATGTACATGAGACTCCCAATGATTTGTTTGTAGAGTGTCTCATCCTCTGGTTCTCCTTCTTTGTCCATAACGAGCTTGTTTCCTGGAACCATTGGGTTACACACCGCATTGCATCCTTCCATATCAAACCTCCTCAATATCTCAAGCGAAACCAATTAGAACGCATACGGTGCTTTTATCATCCAGCTTGTGTCTCTTCTCGTCTGAAATGTGAGTGTGTGTAAAGACTTCCCCATACTCGGAAATGTCCCACATTTGGTTTCACACCACTCCAAGCTTCTTGTGGTGTGGTGTCCTTAACGGCATGTGTAGAACATCTATTGAGTACGTGAAAAGTCCATAGTACTTCATCTGGCCAAAAAAATCTTGGAACCTTTCTCGTTGAGAGTAGAGACCTCACCATGTTCATGACTGTGCGATTCTTTCTTTCTGCGATGCCGTTCTGCTGTGGAGTGTAAGCAGTGGTGAGTTGTCTCCGAATCCCATGTTCTCTACAGTAGTTAGAGAACTCTAGTGAAGTGTACTCCCCTCCTCTGTCTGTTCTCAGACATTTTATGCTTCTTCATGTCTCAACTTCTACCTTCTTCTTAAACACTTTAAAAAGATTAAACGCCTCTGATTTTTCTTTTACGAAATAAACCCAAGTGTTTCTGATGTGATCATCAATAAAACACAGAATGTACCTCTTCCCAATTGTAGAAATGGGATTGATAGGTCCACAGATGTCAGAGTGTATGAGCTCTAGCACCTCCTTGGCTCTCCATGTGCTCTTCTTTGGAATTGCAGTTCTTGGTTGCTTGCCAACGAGACAATCTGAGCAAGTGAAAGTCTGAGCTTCAAACTCTGGAAGTCCACGCACCATTCTCTTACTCTGCAACGTTTTCATCCCATGGTGGCTCAGATGTCCGTATCTTTCATGCCACAATTTTGGCATATTCTCTGCAGTGATCTGTAAGCATTGTTGGTGTCTGGATATATCATCTTTTGTTTGATCAAACACCACAAACATCCGGTTGGTACTCATCTTACTTTCAGCTATCAGACCTCTCTCATCATGAAAGATTTTGCATCCTCCCTTCCGTATTGTGATTGTTAAGTTCTTCTCTTGAAGCTGTCCAAGGCTCAACAAGTTGTTCCTCAGCTATGGTACATGGTAGACGTTACTGATGGTGTATGTTGAACCATTCAACATTAGCTTGACACTCCATTTTCCACTGACTTCCATTCTTTTGTTGTTTCTTAGTTTCACTGAGTGCTTGAATTTCATGTCAATACTTGAAAACAACTCATTATCTCCACTCATGTGGTTTGAACATCCTGAGTCAAGAAACCAAGCACGTCTTCTCCCACTCCCATGTTCTTCAGATTGAGCCATCAATGCCCAGGTTGAGGTTTTCTCCATGTCTAAAGCTCCATCATTTTCATCTTGAGTGTATGCCATGAGAATCATCTCTTCAGTTTCAAGGCATAGTTTGCTTCCTCATCCCATTTAGGACACTCGTTTTGAAAATGCCCCAGCTTGTGGCACTTGTACCACTCAACGGTACTCTTGTTGAACGTTCTTCCTCGGCCACGTCCTCTACCTCTTCCTCTAGTACCCGTTCCTCTCCCGTAGGTCACCTTGAGCACTTGATCATCTCCCTTCTCTGGTTTCTTAAACTTTTGCTCATGGACTGCAAGAGAGCTATGTAACTCATCCAAGGTGATAATATCAATGTCCTTTGACTCTCTTATCGACACCACAACATACATAAATTTTTCACTAAGAGTCCTCAGAATACTCTCCACCATCTTGGTATCATTCAAGATTTCTCCTTTGCTTTTCATCTGGTTCGTGATTGCCAATACACGAGTGAAGTACTCTTCAATGTACTCTGATTCCTTCATCTCCAACACCTCGAAATCTCTTCTCAGCTTCTGCAAAAGTGATCTCTTCACTCGAGCGTTCCCACCAAACTTTGCCTTCATAGACTCCCAAATGATCTTAGATGTTTTCCTATCCAAGATCTGCTCAAAGGTAACCCTATCAATGCTCTAGTAGAGGTAGTGTTTGACTTTGTGGTCATTTGTTTTGGTGTTGTCCAACTGCTGTCTTTGTTCGTCTGATAGGACGGTGGTTATTGCCGGTTCTTCATACCCAGTTTCGATTAAGCTCCATAACCCTCTAGCACGGAAGAAGTTCTCCATAACCTCATTCCAGTGATCCCAGTGTCCATCGAACTGAGGAAGCTTCATCTTGTTATCTCCCATCTCTTCTCTCTTTCTTGTGAACGAAGCTTCGGCTTCTTTTGTTTTTCAAAAAAAAAAACAGAGCTCTGATACCAATTTGAAAGACCAAATACTCTGCCTTTATTGAATGATGATCAATGGCTATATATAGCCTTACAAACTTCAACAGAAAAGCTCAACGTAGAGCTAAACTTAAGCTAACGACTAAGACCATAAGACTCGGTCTTTATTATAACCAAAACAAAGAACAAGACTTAATCAAAACAAACTACTCCAACGTCTCCTTTATTCTCGGCTTTGGATTTGCTCCAACAAAGGGGACACGTAAAAAAACGGAAAGGGGACAACCGGACAAGTGATGATGGCAGGTTTAAAACTGGGATCTTCTTCAACCCCAGCGACGAATCTCTTTGAGGGTTTCCTTGAGACTGGAATTGGTAACCATATGGTTAACTTTTCTGAACCCCAGGCCGTAGACAGGTGAATCATCTGTTTCTATCTTATTCTTCAAAAACTCCACCAGCTCTCTCTCGAAACCACCGCTCCCTCCTTCCTTTGATGCGTCAGTGGAGGCGTATGTCTGAGACTCCAACCACATATGACCCAGCACTTGGCATATTCCTTCTTCCATAACTTTGTTCAGATTCCTATATCCTGTTATTAAAACCCAAGCACACACTTGTCAGAGTGATGATCAAATAAATAATCCTTACTAGATAACTCCAGGGTGTTTTTGACCAATACGTACCCTTGAGTCTGAGATAAGCACGCATCATCTCGCGAGCCAATATATATCCTGTCATTAACCTGCGTCAGTTTTGAAGAGAGATTCGATTTAGTCTATTTGCGCGAGACTGCTTGGAAGGGATGAGATGAGTTTTAAAGAAAGATCATAAAACCTAGGAAGTTCGTATAAGATGAGAATTGCAGTGACCTCGCACTCCCTAACAACCCATTCGGATTCAGTAACCAGGCCAATCAGCTGATTGCTCCGCCCCGTCCGGGTCCCTTTTGAGACCTGCGTGTAACAGAGTTAAAAGTGCAATCCAGTTTGAAATCTCTACAGAATATTATCTTGATCTTACGTAATGTCTTACACTTTTGACAATCTGGTTTCTACTCAGGCAAATACCTCTGGTTTCCACCCCATGCTGATAGTCCTGCTTTGTAGAACTTATAACACGTGAGAGAGAGAGAGAGATGGAAAGTTCAAGTTAGGAAATGTTACTCACAATCTTCTCTTCCTCAGCAGCTTTATATAGCGCTTCTTTCTCCACCAAAAGAAGAGGAAATTCTTTTTCAATCTTCATGTTTAAGCCTTCAAAGAAGTCACGGATATCCATGTGCAGTTCCTGGGCCTCGTCAGTATCCATAACCGCAGATTCCATACATTCTAGACATAGCCACCGACCATCACCATGCAGTACATAGTTCGTTCCCCCAGGCTGCAAAGAAACATAAGAACTCAAACCAGTGGGATTTTATGGTTTACTCTTTCGTCTTATTCCCGTTTGCCGTGTTTTATTATTTGAAAGATAAACTCACCTCTAACCTCTCGCAACTGTAGCACTTGGGAGTTCCATCAGATTCATGAGCAGGGCAGTACCTCTCCTCCCAGAAATGATGCTGATGGAGTTTTCTCATCTAAAAGAATACAGTAACAGTAAACATTCAATCCACACCGTGAAAATTACCAAACAGAGATTCATAACTTGTGAATACCTTCACTTTCTCTTGGCAGACATAGCAGTACCGGTGGTAGCAGCTTTTGTGGAACTTGCCTCTTGAGTTTGAAACCTGAAGAGTTAGTTAATCGAGAATTTATGTTTTCCATCAAATAATACAAATGGAGATTGGAAAAACAACTACCAAAGGGAGTGTTTTACGTACATGGTTTTTAACCTCGTGGATAGCAATTGGTTTGTGGCAAGCATCACAACAGAAACATTCACGATGCCAAAGAACACCCAAGACATTCACAGGTCTTTCATGTTCAATCTCACAGTTGCAACCGTAACATATGCTACTACTAAAAGTGAAAAAAAAAGAAATAATTAACCAGGTCAGGACCTACGTAATTCGAGACAAGTTTATCCCTACTAAGTCGAAGGGACTGGGAAACATTATAATTAACAGGGCATAAACTTATTACCTGCAAGAAGGGTTCGCTGCAGGTAATAAAAAACTGCAACGGTCCCCTATCTGAATCCAAAAGGAAAATGATTGAAATTTAAAGTCTTTCACCATCAATAAAATTGCAAGGTTATATGAAAATGTTTGATTTCATATTTGATAAAGTAATGAATATATTAGCAGCTATTTAGGAAACCAATGAATTGACTTAAGCCTCATTTTTCAAGTAATAAAGATGTTATGGGAATTCGAACCGTTGTACTTGGTCTTTGAACCTTAATGAATGACTGACAAAAAAAAAAAAAACTGTTATGGGACTTGAACTAACGCTTCATATGTGCACAGAACAAAACCAATACCTTTAGGAGAAGATCGTTATGCTTAGCGCACGCTCGACAATTGGGGTGCGATGTGCAGCCCTTGAAAAGATTCTTGACATCTTCATCTATCAAGGGTTCCAAATAATAAGTGGGACCAAAACGCAGGAACTCCAACCGAGAAGTCACCAAAATCTTGTAATCTGGTAACTGAATCAGAAACGTATCAAGCAAGGACTCATCCTCAGGCCAAACATCATCTAAAACCAACAAAATAGGCCCGTTCTCCCCGAGTTGCTGAAGCAACTGTTGAATGCAGTGCGTTGCATCCAAGTTGTCCGCAAATTCCTTTGCTTCACGACCTGTGTGCTGGAGAAACCTATGTAGGATGAACCTTATGTTGGGGGCTTTTGATACAGTGATAAAGAAGATCTGCTTAAACTTTCCTGCCAACGTAAAAAAGGAACTACATGAGAAACAAAGACCACATGATCTTATTATCCCAAGTAGAAAACGAAGACTCTATGTGTTGTGAAGTACCTTTAACATCCGCATCATGGCAGAGCTTTGTAACCAACATGGTCTTCCCGCAGGCAGAAGGAGCAGAAACTACGACACTAACCACTTGGTCTTCAAGTAGCATCTTCTTTAGCTCCCTCAATGGCCGGAGCAACCAAAATATGGTAACTGTTTCAGGCTGCGGTACTACAAAAAGCTCCTCCGCAGATGATCCGCCCTTAACGGTCTCACTCAATATATCAATTTTCGTAGTCAGGCTTGACATGGAATGCATAGAATGCAACTGGTTCCTATGTAGAATAAACTGTAAATCAAGCTGACAAAACCTGAGAAGATCCTGATTAATTCCTTTTATTTTCATGGTATACCAAGCTTTCTCGCCAATACTGTACCACTGGACGCGTGAACACTTACTAACCATGTCCTCAGCTCTTTCCATCGTTTTGAGCAGAAACTTTAGTTCTGGGCCCGATCCTTGTTGCACTTGCATCGAATCGATAACGCTGATAATCGGGGCCAGTCTCTCCAAGGTTGATAAGAGATCCTTGGAGATGGGTTTGAAGTCCGTCACATTCTTGACCTGTTCAAACAGCAGATTAAAAATAGTAGAGACAGGAGCTCCCAGAGCAGCACCTCCAACCAAAGAGGCCACATCCGAGATCGGCATGGCATGAGGTTGAGCTGGTCTTTTCTTCCTCTTCTTCTGATACAGTAAAACACGTGTATTGATAGAACAAAACAGAATCAATGTTCATGAAACAAAGAAACTCAAATCAAATGTGAAGGATCCATGATGAATGAAAAGGATTATAGTTCAACATCCCAGAAAATTCACAGGAACATTGAATAAGTATTTAAGAACTTTCACAGGAAAATCTTATAACAGAAAAGATGGAGCAGCTGGTACCCATTTTTTTTAGTGTACTATAGACTTTATTTTATGAAATGAATTAATGTGTTTGACCGAAAAAAAAAATGAAGAAGAAGCTAACATACCTTACAATTTCTCGATTGATCTTTTCCTCTCTGTAATTTCTGTACTTGTAGGGTTTCTTCAGCCGCGTCATCCAATGGCTTCCTCTGTTTCCTGTATCATCTGGCTTGGACGGCTGGGTATTCCGCGTGACAAAACAGTATATGAGTGGGTGAACATAAAAGTAAAAACAAAAGACAAAAAGCTCAAGAAATTTCCCAGAAGATGCCATGTGTTTTTACTCTTCAAGGTACAAGAAGTCAAGAGCTGGGCCATGCCCAAGAAAAGTTCTAAACTTATATAATTACTTTCAAAATATCAGAATCTGGAAGTATATAGTGATTTCGGAACCAAAGTTCTTTGTCAAACTTTTGAAACTGAACAACTTGTGTGCTTTGATGATATCACACAAGAAACGAAATGCGCAGAACCAAAAAAAAACACAAAGACTTTGGCTGTATCAACATGATTTCCGTATATCACAAAAAAAAAAGACTTGAGAAAGCAATTTCTTTAGTTTCAAAAGGGGAACTGATCTCCAGCGAGAATTTAAATCTGACGAAGATACTACCGATTAACGCAAAATCCTCGAAAGGTTCAAATTTTGCGGGAAAAAAAGAAAGTTTACACACAGACATAGCCATCAAGCACAATCTCAGAAAATAACACAGCCAGATAGTAAAAAGGGGTACTTGGTAATGGTTTGAAAGCGTGAGTCTGTATATCTTTGTAGGACTCTGGTAATGTATGTGTCAACGTAACGTGTCGTATTCGGGTGATTCAAAACTCGAGATCGTCTTCAACCCCGATGGCGAACAATCTCTTTGAGCGTTTCCTGAAGGCTGGAATTGCTCACCATCTCGTTAACCTCTCTGAACCCCACACCGTAGACCCGGGAGTCATCTGTTTCTATCTGATTCTTGCAAAACTCCACCAGCTTCTTCTCAAAAGCAGAGCATGCACCTTTCTTCGATGCAGTAGCAGCTCCAGCCCCCCGAGTGTGGGATGATGAAGCTGCTGCCTTAATAGGGGAGTATGTCTGAGACTCCAACCACATGTGTCCTAGCACTTGGCATATTCCTTCTTCTATAACGTTGTTCAGATTCCTATATCCTGTTACCAAAACCCAAACACACACACACACACACTTGAGAGACCTCTCCCTCAAACGAGTGATGATCATATAATCCAAGAATATGTACCATTGAGTCTGAGATAAGCATGCATCATCTCGTGAGCCAATATATATCCTGTCATTAACCTGTGTGTATGTGTGTAAGATTTCATTTAGTCAACTAAGATGGGAGATGAGGTGGTGGAAGACATGTTACAATACCTAGGTAGTCCATATAGGATGAGAATTGCAGTGACCTCGCAGTTACGAACAACCCTTCGAGACTCTGTGACCATGTCAATTAGCTGGTTCTGCGGCCCCATCCTTGGCCTTTTTGATACCTGTACCAGAATAATTAAAAGTCATTATGAATTCTCGTGTAAATTTCAGACTCTAAAGCTCGTCTAAAAGTGTTACTTACACTTGTGACAATCTGTTCTTCAGACAGACAAATACCTCTGGTTACCACCTCATATTGGTAGTCCTGCTTGTATAGAAACTAAGCATATGATACAGAGTGAAAAAGATTGCAAGTTTCGATTGGGAAATGTTACACACAATCTTCTCTTCCTCCTCAGCTTTATTCAATGCTTGTTTGTCCACCAATAGAAAAGGAAACTCTTTCTCAATTTTCATGTTTAAGCCTTCAAAGAAGTGACGGATCTCAAAAAGCAGAGGCAGGGCTTCGCCAGTATCCATAACCGCAGATTCCATACATTCTAGACATAGCCACCGAGCTTTACATAGTTCCTTCCCTTAGGCTGCAAAGCAAAAGAAAAGAAAAGATCCTAAAAATTTCCAACCATAGTTCTTGGTTAACTAATTATCATATCTCATTGCATCCATGTTTTTTCTACTCACCTCCAGCCTCTCGCAACTGCAACACTTGGGAGTGCCATCAGAATCATGAGCAGGGCAGTACCTCTCCTCCCAGAAAGGATGCTGATTGTATTGTTTCATCTGAAAGAAAACGGTCACACTTACGCTTATTGTCACCCCATGAAAATAATACAGCAGAGAATCCAAAAGTACTGTATACCTTATTTTCTTGGCAGACATAGCAGTACCGTTCATAGCAAGCACTGTGAAACTTGCCTCTTGAGTTTGAAACCTAAACGTGTTAGTTAACGAGAATTCAGGTTTTTGCATTAAAAATCTATATATATATATAAATGAGCAAGTCGAGTTATTTTGTTCGTACATGGTTGTCAACCTCGTGGACAGCTGCTATTGGTTTGTGGCAAGCATCACACCAAAGACACTCAGGATGCCAAAGAACACCCAAGACATCCACCACAGAGCTTTCATGTTCAATCTCAGAGTTGCAACCACCACACATGCTTCATCAAGTAAACATTCTTGATTAGGTCAGTCAGCATATAGAATATGAAGATCAGGTACAAGGGAAGTAGCAACAGACACATAAGCTTATTACCTAGGAGGAGGAGGAGGAGGAGGATTCATCTTTGGAAGTTTTTTATCTTCTTCAACCTCGTCCTTTATTTGACCCTTACCCTTCAAACTCTCCCAAATAACCCGCTGCTCATCTTCATCCATCAAAGCTCTAGAGGAGGAAATGTTGCTCTGTTCTTCAAGTTCAGTAGGAGGCTCTACCATGTTCAGACTCTCCTGAACAATCGCAGCAAGTTGTTCGTCATTATTCACTTGTTCATCTTCAGTTAGCTTCCCTTTGCCTTTCTCCTTAGCAAGCTGCTCTTCAACATCCAACAACGCAGCTCTACGAGGGATACTTTTACGTTCTTCTTCAATACTACTAGGAGGAGAAGGAGGAGGCTCTACCATGTTCAGACTCTCCTGAAGAATCAGAGCATACTCTTCATCCTTGTTCACGTGTTCTTCACCTACTACAACAATCTTAGCAGGCTGCTCATATTCTTCCAAGGCAGAGTTATTATCCATTTCTATTTCATCGTATTGACAAGCATGAGCAATCTGCTCATCCTTGTCAACCTCTCTCCTACGCAAATTTTCCGCTTCCTCTTCTTCACGTTGATGGAGACGAGAAGATTCTTTGAATGGCGGAAGAAAGTTGTTTGGCTTCTTGAATGTCAACGTCTTCCCGTGATACTGCTAAGGCAAGATTAATCTGATCCTACAGTTTTTATCAGACGTCACAAGTTAGTTTTTTTTTCTTTTTTTAAAAAAAGGGAGGCAATAAAAAAAGAACTTGGAGTAAAAAAAAAGCAACAAAAGTGAAGAAGATATATGATGATATATAAACCTCAGAAGTAGATGAGGGTTTGAAGCAAGAGAGGCACCACATCTTCTGGATCCCACTTTATCACTGATCTTAGCAGCCCTGCGAGGGATCAAACACTTTTTTTTACCATCGTTGAGGAAGAAGTAATCTGACTCTAAGGGATCAAAAGATTCACTAGTCTAAGCCAAACATCTCAATTTTAACATCAAGAAGCAAAAAAAAAGACCAAAAAAATGCTTGGAATTTAATCAAACATAAACGATAAGCATCAAGGACAAGACCACCTGATACGCAACTTGGTATGAAACTGAAGAAAAACAAAATATCTAATGGCTACTACTACTGGTAACTCTAAGAAGAATGCGTGAAAGGAAGGATGTTGTAACAGAAGATGATGATGATCCAAAGGAATAATAAAAAAAGAAGAAGAAAGAATCGGACAAACCCAAGATTTAGACAGGTGAACGGAGCTAGAGCTCAAAGTGGAGTGCAAGACCAAATAAAGAAAATTACATGAGTTTTTAGTTTTGCTATAATTCCCAAATTTGTCGAGAGCTCAGACGCGTTGCTGGAAGCCTCAACGACCCATTTCTTAAAAGAAACTTTGAAACTTTTTTATACTATGGAAGGAAAGGAAGTGAGAATCTTTTTTTTAAGGCCGTCAAAACTTTAATACGGAACTAACGAATGACTCGGATTGAAGATGATGAATTATTAAAAATAAAATCAAAAGCAAAGTCAATACAACTTACCCAGTGCAGACCACTGGTGAGATCGATAAGAAGATTCCAAGGCCATTGGCTTTTTGGCTTCGTGTGGAAACTGCGACAGATCTTCTCTCTCTCGATGCGTTGAATAGGTCATTGAGGAAAGGCACAAAACGAGTCGGGTTGTCGAGAAGAAGAAAGATAAAACTTACTTTTGTGGTCCGTCCTACACCTACACGTGGCCTAACCACATTACTCTTTGACTTTTTTTCCACACGATTCAATCACGGGGATTTTCCCTCCCTCTTGAAACGTGGCCGTTTTCTAGCTTCCCATCAAGCAAGGCAAGATGATGATAAGATTGATTTTAACTAAAAACATGATAAGGGATTTTGACAGTATGAACAAGTAATCGGAGAATTATTACAAGACAACTCTAAACCCCAAAAAGACACTTCCTTTAGTTTCAAAAGGAGAATCGATTGTCTGCGAGATTTCAAATGGGACCAAGATACTGTTTGGTTAACACAAAATCCTCGAAAGGTTTCCAACTTTACGAAAAAATATAATAGTTTCCACACAGCACGAAGCAGCACAAACAAACAAAAAACACACTGGAAAATGAAAAGCAGAATTAAAAAAAAGGGGGGGGGGTACTTGTGATGGTTTGAAAGCTTTTTGAGTCTGTATATATTTGTAGGGCTCTGGTAAATGTATGTGTCAACCCGTCGTATTAGTGTGATTCAAAACTCTGAATTTGGGATCTGCCTTCAACCCCTGAGGCGAACAATCTCTTTGAGCGTTTCCTGGAGGCTAGTATTGCTCACCATCTTGTTAACTTTTCTGAACCCCACACCGTAGACCCGGGAGTCATCTGTTTCTATCTGATTCTTGCAAAACTCCACCAGTTTCTTCTCAAAATCAGAGCACACACCTTTCTTCGATGCAGTAGCAGCTCCAGCTGGAGTGTGGGATGATGATGATGATGAAGCTACTGCTTCAGTTGCATCATTAATAGGGGCGTATGTCTGAGACTCCAACCACATGTGTCCTAGCACTTGGCATATTCCTTCTTCTATTACGTTGTTCAGATTCCTATATCCTGTTACCAAAAAGCCCTTGTCAGACCTCTCCCTCAAGAATTATGATCAAATAAATATTCCTTACTAAATATCCAGGGTGTTTTTGACCAATACGTACCATTGAGTCTTAGATAAGCATGCATCATCTCGTGAGCCAATATATATCCTGTCATTAACCTGTGTGTATGTGAACATAAGATTTCATTTAGTCAACTAAGATGGGAGATGAGGTGGTGGAAGACACGGTACAATACCTAGGTAGTCCATATAGGATGAGAATCGCAGTGACCTCGCAGTCACTTACAACCCTTTGAGACTCTGTAACCATGCCAATTAGCTGGTTCTGCGGCCCTATCCTTGGCCTTTTTGATACCTGTACCACAATAATTAATTCATGATGAATTCTCGTGTAAGTTTCAGACTCTAGAGCTCGTCTAAAAGTGTTACTTACACTTGTGACAGTCTGTGCTTCAGACAGACAAATACCTCTGGTTACCACCTCATACTGGTAGTCCTGCTTGTGTAGAAACTAAGCATATGAGACAGAGTGAGAGAGAGAAAGAAGGAAAAAGATTCCAAGTTTCGATTAGGAAATGTTACTCACAATCTTTTCTTCCTCCTCAGCTTTATTTAATGCTTGTTTGTCCACCAACAGAAAAGGAAACTCTTTCTCAATTTTCATGTTTAAGCCTTCAAAGAATTCACGGATTTCAAACTGCAGAGGCTGGACTTCATAAGTATCCATAAACGCAGATTCCATACATTCCAGACATAGCCACCGACCATCACCCAGCTTTACATAGTTCCTTTCCTTAGGCTGCAACGAAAAGAAAATATCCTAACAAGTCAAACTCGAGGACTATAGTTTCCTTCACTTTTTTCTCTAGTGGTCAATTATTCATCTCATTGCATCCCCTTTTAACCATGTTTTTTCTACTCACCTCTAGCCTCTCGCAACTGCAACATTTAGGAGTGCCATCAGAATCATGAGCAGGGCAGTACCTCTCCTCCCAGAAAGGATGATGATTGTATTGTTTCATCTGAAAAAAAACGGTCACATTTACATTCATATGGTCACACCATGAAAAAAATACAGCAGAGAATCCAAAAGTATACCTTCCTCTCTTCGCAGACATAGCAGTATCGTTCATAGCAGGCCTTGTGAAACTTTCCTCTTGAGTTTGAAACCTAAAGGTGTTAGTCATCAAGGATTCAGGTTTTGGTTCAACAAATGAGCAAGTAAAAGAGTAAATTAAAATGCCAAGCAATTTCAAAGAAAGTGTTTTTTCTTCTTACATGGGTTTCAACCTCGTGGACAGCTATTGAATTGTGGCAAGCATCACACCAGAGACACTCAAGATGCCAAAGAACACCCAAGACATCCACCACAGATCTTCCATGTTCAATCTCAAAGTTGCAACCACCACACATGCTTCATCATCAAGTAAACATTCAGAATATAAATTCAGGTAAAAGGAATGTAGCAACAGACACATAAGCTTATTACCTAGGAGGAGGAGGAGGATTTATCTTTGGAAGATTTCCATTTTCTTCCACCTCGTCCTTTATTTTACCCTTGCCCTTTTTTAAACTCTCCCAAATTGTCCGCTGTACATCTTCATCCAATGACGATCTAGAAGCAAGTTCTTCATCCTTCTTCACATGCTAAAAGTTGAAACATTCTTAATCAGTTAAGGACATATAAGTAGTTTATTTCCTCAAGTCGAGAAGGAGACTCTTACCATGTTTAGACTCTCATGAACTCTGGCAGCAAGTTCTTCATCCTTCTTCACTTGTTCATCTTCAAGTATCCTTTCTTTACCTTTCACTTTTAAACTCTTCCCAAAGTTCTTAGCATACTGCTCATCTTCATTGTCTAGCACAGAGTTATCCTCCAGCCCTGTGTTTTCCTTGTATGATATCTCAGTGTAGAGGTTTTGAAGATCTTGCGCTACCTGTTCATCCTTCTTCACTTGTTCACCTTCAAATTGTTTGCTTTTGCGTCTTTCCTTTGATCTCTTAGAGGTTTTAGCAAACTGCTCATCTTTGCCGTTATTATGGAGCGCTGGACTTTCCTCAAATGCCATCTTGTTTAAGCGGTTTTGAAGATCTTGCGCTACCTGTTCGTCCTTCTTCACTTGTTCTTCAAACTGTTTGCTTTTGCCTTTATCCTTAGGAGTATCAACAACAATCTTAGCAGGCTGCGTTTCCTTTTCTAACTCTCTGGTACGCCTTTTTTGCTCATCCTCTAGCTGTTGATGGAGACGAGAAGATTCTTGAAGGGCGGAAGCAAGCAGTTGAGCTTCTTGAGTGTCAGCTTCTTCCCGTGAGACTTCTAAGGCAAGATTAGTCTCTGCTTCAAAAGGATCCTACAGTTTTTTCAGACGCCAAAAGTTTAGATTCTTTTTTTTTTTTCAAAAAAAGGAGGCAATAAAAAAAGGAACTTAGATGAGACAAAAGTGAAGATATAACCTCAGAAGTGGAGGGTTTGAAGCAAGAGAGACACCACATCTTCTTCTTCTGGATCCCACCTTTTCACCGATATGGGCAACCTTTCCCCTGCAGATGGATCAAACATTTATTATCCTCACTGCGGAAGAAGTAACCTGACCCCGAGGATCGGAAGAAGTTCAAAGATTCCCTAAGTGTTGACAGCAACATCAGTTTGGTGAATTAGGACATGTACATTAGATACAGAGCAAGAAACACATACAGAAAGACAAAACTGATACACAGCCACGCAACTAGGTAATGAAACAGAATCTATGCCTGTAATGTGTGAAACGATGTAACAGAAGAAGATGATCCAAAAGAACAAGAACCGAACAAACCCGGGATTTGCCAGGAGAAGGGAGCTTGATCTGAAAGTGGAATGCAGTGACCAAGAAAAGAAAGAAAATCACATATGAATTTTGTAGGAGCTAGAGTTCACAAATTTTTGAGGTGGACGCGTTGATGAAAGACTTGAAAGGGAGATTTGAAACTTTTTATACTAAAGGGAAGGGAGAATCTTTTTTAAGGCCGTCAAACTTTAGTAAACGAACGACACGGATGAAGATGTTGAATCTTAGAAAAAAATAATCAAAAGCTAAGTCAATACTACTTACCCAGAGCAGAGATGAGAGACCCCACTGTTGAGATTTGCTGTTTCTAACCGAGTAGAAGATTCCAAGTCCATTTCTTTTACACCCCAAATTCAAAAAGATCCTTCCTTTCCTTTTCTTCATGTGGAAATTGCGCTCGATCTTCCACTTCCTACACCCACTTCTCTCTCTCTCTCTCGATGCGTTGAATAGGTCATTAGGAAAAGGCAACACGAGTCGGTATTGAGGAGTGAAGAGAGAGAAAACTTCTCTTGTGGTCCCAACCTTCCAGCTGTTTTTCCGACAGGTGGTGTAATTACATTACTTGTTGACTTTTTAATTACACGGGGTTTTCTAAAAATTAAACAAGAGAGACAACAAGAGAATATAATGTCAAAAAAAGCAAGATGATAAGATTGTTTTTAAGTGAAAACAGGACGACAAAGAAAAATAGTCTTAACCGATAGATCAAACATCCCAATCTCGAGCCCAATGCTGTTATTGGTCGTATACATTATATTGATGCCATTTACATTTTATTTTAAAATTCTGACGATTAAAACTAATTTTTGATATGGTTTAGATTTAGCTAATGGCTCTAGTCGAATGGTCAGACTAAATCAGCACAATATGCTTTAAACGGGCCTCGGCCCATATTGAATGTGTATTTCATGATCGGGAGATTGAAAAGGAATTTTTCTAAAGTCGTATTTAACTAGTGAGTAGTGTGACTAATTCAATCATCAAAAGGCCAGTTTCTAAATTATATATAAATCATCTCTCTTTTTCAGCAGACCACGTTATAGAAAAAGGTACGAAGCTTATCTTTAGGATCATCGACCAAAAAAGAAAAAAATGATGATCAAAAATGTTCAAAACGCAGTCAGAGTCGATAAATGTGCAAAAGACGTACCTCTTCAGTCACCAGTGGATAACGGTAGATTCATAAGCCCCGAGGTCTACAGATTCAACAGACAAAAATATCTAAGAAGCTACACCTTCGAATGCTACGACTACGATGGTGAAGACCACTTGTCGGCCAAGAAACAGAGTAAGTGGCTCAAGAACAAGAAAAAGGTCATGAAGATGAAGAAGACGAACGGCTCTCTTCGCCACTCGTTCAAGACTTGTCTCAGGCTCTTGTTCTCTTGCTTTCATGTCTGATCCTTATAATTTGTACACTAAATAATTTCCACTTTCTTTTCTTTTTCCTTTTCATCGTAATTTCAAGCTATCTTCTCTTTGCCTTGGGAATAAAGTCAAATGATCCATGACCATGAATAAAATATTAACCAAACTGAATTCAAAAATCACTTCAGTTTTGGGGGATTCATATCTTTTGTCGATTGCAGTAAAACCTCTATAAATTAATAATGTTGGGACTTTGAAATTTTATTAATTTATAGAGATATCAATTTACAAAAATTTCCTTATTTAGATTTTTTTTATTATTTTTTCCTTTTTTATTTATAAGATAAAAAATACATTTGATTTTAGCATATGTACATTATTTAAATTTTAGAAATTTGACCTTTATATTGTTTTATTATCTTATTTGGTGTATATTTTAATGTTTCATAGAATTGTTACATGGTTTTCGATATAATTTAACTAAATATTATTAAAATATATTAAAATGTTTAAAAAATCAAAGTATTTTTATAGTAAATATGAAACCCCTAACTAAATATTATCAAAATATATTGAAATGTTTTAAAAAAATAAAATTATTTTTATTGTAAATATAAAACCAACAATATAATGTTAGATTATACTTATATAAAATTATATATAGCTAGATTATTAATTTATGATTTTAGTGGGACCATATATTTACATGGCAATTTTAAAAATATTATTATCTTATTATTTTATCGATTTGTGTCATATTTTGCACCGGCCCAAGTTGGGACCGGTGAATTTTATTAATTTATAGAGATTATTAATTTATCGAGTATTAATTTATAGATGTTCTACTGTACTTTTGAAATTTGACAAAACGTGATGTATCGTCTGCTCGGTTTCCTTTTTCTTTTTTGGCGTGGGTATTTTTTCAAAAATGTGTATGAGTCCACTCCAACGAGGGACATCAATTTTCTTTTTTTGTTTATCATAAACTTTTAGTTAATTATTTGAGCCGGCACAATCGCATTCACAGAAAGTTTCGTATCATTACAAACAAATAGCATATTGCAAGTTCAGAGAGTTGACGTTAATGTATAATACACAACAATACAATGTCATTGCATATTATCAAAAAAAAAAAAAAACTAACTCCAAGGATAAAATCAACTTGTCGTTTAATTTTGAAAGATACAAGTGGAGAGGGAAAGAGACGTGCACTGGTTAAGTTGGTCTATCGCTATCAGTGACCAGATGATAAATCGTAATCTAAGTGATACTTAGATTATTCAGTATAATTTTCTAATACAGTATGTTCTTGAAATATGATCGGTACTTCTGTCAATTTTTTTTTTTTAAATTAGGACTGAACAGCGACGTCATCGTCAGCACTGATGTATATCCACACCTTCATCATTGTTGGTACTTTTGAACGTACATAACTCGTGTTATATAAATTGTTAATGTTATCTGAAAATTTACTAGCAGCATATTAAACAATGTTCAATCCTTTTCAGAATAATAAAAAATAACAATTGGTTTTGCATAGAGGCGTGCAAAATGGTGGTCGTACTATGATCTGGAGATGTATACTTCGTTTGAATAGACGAATATTTAGTTTAGGCCCATGATCCGAATGGCCCATTAGTAAAGGCCTGTTAAGAGCACTACTACTTCATATTTAGCTTAGCTAGCGCATATTTACCTTATCCTTTCTAAAACAAAATAAAAACGACTTAAGAGTAAGAAACAAACCAAAGAAAAACAAAACATGCATATCTCGAATTTTGTGAGTTGATGTCCGACGTTATTCTGAAATCGAGGAGACGAGTGGGGGTAAAGCTCCAAAACAAAAGGTAATGTTAGTTTACAATAACCAAGAAGACTCTCTTTTGTTTTATTCCATAATACTAAACTCTTAACTCTCTCCTACAAAATCTATATGCAACCCAGAACATCGGATCGTATACGTAACGTTGTAATTTCTTGAAATGAAAAAAACATATTTGAAAATATTTTGACAATCTAGAGAGAAGAAGAGTAAGAGGGACTATTGCCCCCACATTCCTCTTTATGCGTTGATCAATCTTCATCGGTGGTGAATGAAAAAAGAAGAAAATAACGTTATTATGCGTTCACACGTTCCAGTTTTTACTTTATTTATATAATAAAATAAAAGAACCTTTTTCTTGTGTGCGAGTGTGATTCTTTGACAAACGGGAAGTCGACTTCGCAGACAGAAACAAAATTTCCGGACATCGCATTTGTCAATTTCCCCACACCCGGGCCACCCCGTGGAGATTCAGACAAGTCACAAGAGCACAAAAGCTATCATCTTCTTCGAATGTGTGATGTTTCCTTTAGCCCTTTTCACTTTCATCTCTTTTGAGGTCTGTTTCTTTTAACCTCTCTGTCTTCTTCCTTCTTCTTTTACTCTGTTCAGCAATTTATATTTGGAATTTTATTCCTCACTATAATCCTTTTTTTTTTATATTTGGAATTTTATTCCTCACTATAATCCTTTTTTTTTAATATATTTGGATGTATTCCACAATGTCCTTGGTTTTGGGTGAATCGATTTAAATGTATACTAAGCTAGTGGCTTTTGGCTTCTGAGTGACTAACGAGATATGGGGTTTCATTGCAGGCATATTAAGTGTTCGTTGAAATGTCTGACTGAACCCAACTCCTCTGCTTCCATCTGGTAACTTTTGTTGGACTCTTTCATATTTAACTGCAACAATCATTCTAAGTAGGTTTGTTCACACAAGTCCAAATATGAATAGAAATATTAAAATAAAGAATACAATTTCATGCCAATGGGGCCATGTGATTCAAGAACTGTGGTGGAGGAGATAGATGGACGGTCAACAACTCCGACTAGCCCAAGAAATTTGTTCTAACCCACAAAATTGGTTAAACAAATATTCCTTTCCATTAGTCTTTAGTGGTTAAAACACATGGATATTGAATAGGACCATCAGCTAGTTTATACAAATAATAGTAGGGTAATATCAAGATACACATATCAAAAAGTTGGGTATTACTTTCATACACATGTACATAGTATATAATTACTATTTAAACTTTTTTATCTGTAGCTTATAGACTTATTCATAATGTTTTTTTTTATTTTGATTACCTTAAGCCACACAGTAACTTTTACTTTTTGAAGGCAAACCACTTTTGTCTATTTTTAACTGAGTCTAGGTAGATCTCTAGCTCCCTCTTTTTTTTTCCGATTTGGTTGGGTCTTGTACACACTGGTGACTGTCTTTTTTCACACGTGAGTCGACTCTCTCTTCTTCTCACCACCATTTTCCCTGAAACATGAGCCATTGCCAACTTTTTTTTCTTCATTTGAAACCCACCCACGCTTTTTTATTTTGTCCCTTTTAATGTTAAAAGCTTCCTTCTTTATCGCTAAATGATAGAAGTTTCGCTAGTTTTTATAGTATCCTTTGGTGTTTTACAGGTGAAGAAGATTCACTTGGCTTTTCCACAGAAAAAAAGTTCCAGCTTTTCAGGCTATCTGCGCTTAAAAAGTTAAAGCTGGAGTTTCTTATTGTGAAGCTTTTTCTTAATAGGCCATGCGGTTTCTGCTTGAAGCATTTCCTGTAACTCTTTTGTTTTCTCCAACTCCTGGGAACTGATTAGGAGAAAGCTCAGCTCCTTTGTGGTAACTTTTTAAAAACAAATGGGATTCGGAGTTGGTGGTGGTGGAGTTAGTAAAATGTTGGATTTGAGGATGGTCCAAAGCCACAAGCGTTCAAAGAGGTTAACTGTCCACTCTTTTGTTCGTTATATAACAACTACTTATTTTTCTTCTAATGTGGTAGATTTGCTCTCAATGTGTCCCTATTTGTCTTGCTGGGATGGGTCACGGAATAAACTGAAATTTGAGAGTTATGGATCACTCAGATCTTCTGTTATCCGTTGCTGAAATTACTGTTTTTTGGTGGTCCTGAACAAGATAATGCGCGCCTGTTAAAACTCTTAAATTTGCTTTAGTGTAGTTGATGAAACTTTATTTTGATACAAAATGGATTTAAAAGACATTATTGTTAAATGCGTATGTGGTGATAAAAGAATAGAAACTCTGTATCGTTACTCATGTCGTTTGCATTGATCCTTGTTAGTTGCTCTTTATGCACAGTGCCAGCTTTCCAGAAAAGAAAAGAGCCGAGGGAGATAAACCTTCTTCGAATACTTCTTTTGAAGCCTCTCAACGCATCAAGCTGGTGAGTATAAATCACTTTCTTTGCCTCTTTTTTTCTTTTTAATCTTTTGAACATGAAAAAAGGTCGTGATAAAGTGTATTGGTATTTGTTAAAGAAGAACAGCCTAAGGCGCTGAGACATGATTCTCGCCTTGTTGGATTTATCTTTATGTTTCTTTGACTAATAAGTATCTTTTCTCTCTCTCTTTTTTTACCTTTTGCATCTTTTTGGTGAAAGGCTGCCTTTACACAAATGTTTCGCTATTCTTCCTTGTACCCTTCTTACTTGTCTTGTACTTGAATTTCCTTTCTGGTATTAAGTTGTTAGAAACTAGACTCTCTAAAAAAGAGAGTCCGAAGCTGTTTCTTTATCTTTATAAAACCTCTTCTGAGATCGTTTATGGAATTTGTCTGAATTGCTTTAGGACATGGGTCGTTCAAATGAATCAACCAAAGACAAGCCTAATCATCAGTATCATTCAATCACCGAAACTTCATTGAAGCAAGAGGTAATGTGTTGTATGGTTTGTTTACTTGATTCATGTCCTTCTTTTGTGGATTAGACTCACCTTATTCCTCACACAGATTGATCAGCTCGAGACAAGACTACAAGATCAGTTTAAGGTTCGTTGTGCATTTGAAAAGGCCTTAGGTTATCCAACAGCTTCTTCGTACATGCTGACTGAAGCAAACGACATTCCTATGCCCAAGGTCAGTCCCGAAACTGTATATATATCTTTTGGAAACGAGCTCTGTGCATCTAAAGATACGTTGTTTGTTTTCTCCTTTCTTCTTCACTCTTCAGCCAGCTATTGATTTGATCAAAGACATTGCGGTTCTGGAGATGGAAGTTATACATTTGGAACAGTATCTTCTTTCATTATATCGAAAAGCCTTTGACCAGAAAATCTCTTCTGCATCTCCAAATTCAGACAAGGAGAAGCCAAAGTCTCCTCCTGTGACAACCCCTAGAAGGTGTCTAGAACTTGCTGAAGAAGATTATACCACCCCATCGAAAACAGATGATGATGATGTTAATCAAAGTCATTCAAAGGAGTCCAGCTTTCACCGTAGCCACTCGCACCGTTCAGCATTTGAGAGTAGAAAAGCTTCTTCCCCGGAAGATTCTTGGAGTGAAGCCATCCGCTCTTGCCACTCCCAGCCGTTGTATCCACAGAATGGAGAAAATCTAATCAGTCTAGCTGAACATCTTGGCACACGAATCTCGGATCATGTTCCAGAGACTCCCAACAAGTTGTCTGAAGGAATGGTCAAGTGTATGTCAGAAATATACTGCAAGCTCGCAGAGCCACCTTCTTCTGTACTAAACCACAGACTTTCATCATCTCCAAACTCATCTTTGTCATCGAGTGCATTCTCGCCCTCTGACCAATACGATACATCGAGCCCTGGATTGGGAAACAGCTCCTCTTTCGATGTACGTTTAGAGAACTCTTTCCATGAAGAAGGAGATCAGAAGGACTTCAGTGGGCCTTACAGCAACATGGTTGAAGTGCTTTGCATTTACAGAGACGCCAAAAAGGCCAGTGAGGTCGAAGATCTTCTGCAAAACTTCAAGTGAGTCAGCTTTGAGATTTGACATATTGATGATTGGTTGTGAATTAGGAGGATCTTGATGTGTTTAAGCTCATCTCTTGCAGGTCGCTTATTAGTAGGTTGGAGGAAGTGGATCCAAGTAAGTTGAAACATGAGGAGAAGCTGGCGTTCTGGATAAATGTGCACAATGCACTTGTGATGCATGTAATACTCTCTTCCCTTAAAAGAATCAGTGTCAGTTTTTGTGACTCTTATGGAAATTTCTTTTTAATCTCTTATAGGCCTATTTAGCTTATGGGATTCCACAGAACAATGTGAAGAGAGTCCTACTCCTACTCAAGGTAAGTAACAAACATCTATTGCACATGAACCATCCTTTCCTTTCTCTATGTCTCCTAATTTACATTTTTTCTTAAAAGGCTGCATATAACGTTGGTGGACACACGGTTAGCGCGGAAGCAATACAAAGCTCTATTCTTGGATGCAAAATGTCTCACCCTGGACAGGTAAGTTTTAGAAGAAATCCTAAAAGTTTGAAATGTTAGCTTCAAAGCACAAACCTAAAGTGAAAAAAAAGGCTTATTCTGTTTTCATTTTTTCTCTTAATAGTGGCTTAGACTACTATTTGCTTCAAAGAAGTTCAAAGCAGGAGATGAAAGATTAGCTTACGCAATCAATCATCCCGAACCTCTCCTACATTTTGCACTTACTTCCGGCAGCCACTCCGATCCCCCGGTATTTTTTTAACACTTCAAGAGAATCATTGAAACTCTTTAGTTGATGCCAATTAAAAGCTCAAGTCTCTGCTTCTTGGTTGTTGTTTTTGTTTTGAAACACAGGTGCGTGTATATACGCCAAAGAGAATCAAGCAAGAGCTAGAAACGTCGAAAGACGACTACATAAGAATGAACTTACGCTTACGCAATCAGAAAGTCCAACTTCCAAAGCTTGTGGAGACGTTTGCAAAAGAGTCCGGTTTATGTCCAGCTGGTTTGACAGAGATGGTTAACCAGAGTATACCGGAATCTTCGAGAAAATGTTTGAAGAGATGTCAATCTGGTGGTAGTAAATCACGCAAGGCCATTGATTGGATCCCACACAGCTTTACATTCAGATATCTTATTCTTAGAGAAGCTGCCAAATGAAAAAAATAATAATTATTAGTTCATAAAAAAGATTCTTCATTCATATAATGTGTGTGTCTGTGTATATAAAAAAGATCGTTAATGTCTATGATTGTCCCCACTTTCTAATTCTGATAAGGTTGTGTTTTCGTATGGATGATTGGATCTAGTTTCTTCACAGTTACTTAGCACCAAGGAAAGGAATTAGTGTTACTGCCAATTAATTTTCTAGTGATACTCATCAGTGTTTTTCTTTTACTATGGCTTTTGGCACTTGAGCACAGCCAAGCTCCTTTTGAGTCTCTACACACGGCTTGTTCATAGACCCAGCAAGTGTGGTTTAAGGCCCATTAATTTATTCGTTTGTTTAAAAGGCCCATTAGTGCTGATATGTCCTGCCTTCTTCACCTCACATATTCCAATTTTGTTTCAAAAATCATACTAGTAAATATTGCTCTCGTTCCATGTCTGATGGGAAATAAGAAATCAGATACTCTAGATTTTTGACATTACTTCAAATACTGCTGGGTATGCTTTCATGATCAGTCACTTGTATATCCAAACCACTGAACTAACTCTCTCTCTCTCTCTGAGCATACAAGTCTCAGCAAAGAAAATGAAATTTTCATGTTCAGAAATGCAGTAATAAGTTTGCAGAAGGGAAGTAAAATGGACCACAATTCCATCAGAACATATCTATCAGAAGGTTATGTTAGATTCAACTGCGGTTGGTTTGGTCGAGTATATTTGACCAAATCTAGGTATTACCGGTTATAAAACTTGTTGAGGCGAAAATTTACGTGTGAGATCATTAATTGAATGAAGATTGGAATCACACCAGTGGAATATCATCATCCTCGTGCCCAAATCTAAATGGATAATTTTTTTTTTTTTTTTTTTTTTTCTAAATGAATAATTTTTTTTCTCCATTTTTAAAAAGTGAAAACGTCTCTATTTAGTATTTACAATTTATACGTCCGTCGAATTTTTCTCCTCAAACTAACTAATTGAGAGACACAAGCTACTCGGCGATGGTGCTCAAATTCCGCGTAAAGCTTCTTTTCCCTTTCCCACCACCACTGACATTTGTCTTTGCTTCGACGATTCTTTTCGATTTTGCATATTCTTGGTCAACGCCGCCGCCGGAAACCCAACCGACTCCGCCGCTCTTGGTCAACGCTGAGCTCGCTTTAACAGCCAACGCTGCCATTTCCTCCGCCTTTAGCGGATGATTGAGCCACGTCAGCGGTAGAACGAAGTAAAGCTGCCCTGGTCTAAGCTCCTCGTTGCCGGAGAGAGCTGAAACGGCGTCGTCGAAGTCCATTTCGTCAGAGTTGCAGACGAAACTCGTCGGGTGTTTCTGCAAGATCTGCCAAACTTTGATCGGAGATGAGAACTCTTGTAAAGTCCCGTCCAACAATATTAGCTTCGCTGAATCTCCACTCATACTTTCACGTGATACGCACGCTCCCATTTTTTTGTGTTACGTAGTCTTTGTAAAGGTCTTTGAAATATGAGATCTTTGATATTTGTGTTGTATTGTGATTGTGAATTAGTGAAAGAGACGACCTATCGGACAAGTTTATATAGTGTATGATTATCAGAGGAAGATGAAGACAAGTACTATCCTCGAGAATCTTAAAGTCCACGTCAGATTTGTCGTGTAGTAACAACAATGGAACATGACAGCTCAATGTTTGGTTACTGTTTTGCCAACTTTGGCCAAACGGACCCTCGCGGCGGAGGGTATACCGGGAAAGAAGGAGAGATTAACGTGGCGAAGAATGAGAGAGGAAGGAGCTTATTAGGTGGTGTGAAGGAGGAGATGGCCACGTGGCCAACATAGGCATGACCTGCAAAGCAGACAAAAGATTGGAGTTAGCCGGGAAGGTTCCTGTCTCCTGTGGGTTTAAATCTCACGTTAAGACACTAGGGACTGTCGACTACCATGTGAGAGTGGGATCCATCTGTGTTCTTGGCCCAGTTTAGATTCTTTGGAACCTTTTGGTAGATACAAGAGTCACCAACCTTGATTTTATTATTACTTTCTCTTTTTCTATCACTATTTTATTTTAGTTTATTTTGCATGGATGCATGCAGCATTAATGAGAAGGAAAGTACCCCAAATGATCAGAGTGCTATTTTCTTATGTTGGACGGTATGCAAAAAGCTGTATAGAATTGTGTTTGTTTGTTTTGTTTAAGATATTACAATATATGTAACTTTAATGATTTTGTTCAGATTGGTTTGTTGAAGAGTATTTGTTAATTTGTTTTTCCTTTCCATGTTAAAGTTGACTTAATGCATATAGTTTAGATATTTATCTGAATGGATCTGTTGTCAAAAGATAATCAATTCATTGGATGTATTAAGGGTTCAGGAACAAAAGGTAATCTAGTAAATTATATCCAGTTCTGAAAAGAAAATAGCTCAAAGTTGTACTATTTTACACACACAAATGTACTAGGGGCCGGAATCAACCACGTCTTCACCGAACTCAAATCAGCTGATGGCAATTTTTAATAAAGTTGATATTCTGGCTTGGTGCAGTATCCTTTGTTTGTTTTTTCCATACGTAGAACTTATAGCCATCTCATTTGAATAATAAAACTAGATTTTGACACGCGCTTGAGAAACGCGGGTTTTGTTTTGGTTGTAAGAACATTTATGAAATGTTTAGATTAGTATTATATGAGAGTTTTATGTTTGTATGTGATGTATATTTAACCTTTTAGTTGAGTCTTTTAATTGGATTATGCATAACCGGGTCACTTTGTGATTGAACCGAGAATGCGAAAAACATTAATCAGAAAGAAATTAAAAAAAATAACCTTGGTGAATATTAATAATGCTCGTCAGATCTAGACATCTAGTGGTGGATACCGATCTCCCAACGGTGGCGTGTGTGACATGACTTTCATATGCAAGTTTTTTTTTTTGAGAAAACTTTCGTATGCAAGTTCAACCGTAGTTATTACATGAGGTGAAACTGGACAATATTACAGTTCAGTTCTGCTTCCGCTGTTCCATTTTCAGCACCAGAAATGCTTTTGACGCGATTTGAAATTACTTTTGTTATGCAATTTAACACCCCAGAAGATACTTGTTACTGCACTAATGCTTTTTTCTTTAGTTGGTGGATTATCCGTATGGTGGAACTTAGCATGCCTCCGAACAAGATGATTTTTAGATATAGAACATGTGATTATATAGATGATAATGATGATATCAACACACACGCTCATAGAATCTACTGTAAGAGTATCTTCGAAACTGAGTGAATGCAAGATTTGTTCTATACTTTTGTACGAATCTGATTTCTCTAGGATAAAAGATAATGTCCCTAAAATAATTAAACAATTTTATTAATTCCGGAGGTTTAAAACTTAAGAGCGAATTTGTCTGTGATCTGCATTGTTATGTGCTGTCCCACGCCAATGCAATTGTCTGTGTTCTTTCATGTCAGGAGATTTAAGACCAAGCACAGACCAATATGTTTTGTTTAAGCTAAACACTGTTTTGTTTTAATATTCCACACCCATGCACATAAATATTGCAGGGTAAGGACCATGGTGATTAGACTAAATTATTTACAGGCATTATGATTCCACTTACTCGCCAGTTTATTTAACTAATATCATATAATATATCGAAAGAGACAGAGTAATATACAAACCAACTATTTCACTCATTTGTATATTCATTGATTATCGAAGTGATTTTATTTTGAACTTCTAATTTACAAAACCCATCATGTCTGGGACTGATAGCATGTTTTAAGGCCCAAACATTATAAACTTTCATGGTATTTCTAGGTGTCGTTCGTATTGGAAACCGGCTAATCTATATGGTACATTACATAACTCATCAGCTGCACAATGTGTTTTCTTATCAGTAGACCAAAAGATCAAAGCTGGTACTCTAAATTTAGTATTTATGCCTTCTTTGCATGAAGGGCAATGATATTTAATCTCTAAAGATAAAGATCTAGGCATGTACGTGCAGTTTTCATAATAGACATAGAGAATAAGTCATGAAAAGATAGTCTCATTATCATCAAATACAATTAACAGAAGAAGATGTTTAGATATGATAAAAATGATCACTCAAGTTGACCATACCACACCCCTTGGATCTTCACATCCTTTGGTACCTTGGCACCCAAGTCAGTATCCGATGGCTGAAGACTCTCAAACACTCCGATCACTTCTCCAGTCTCTGGTTTACTCTTGGTCACTTTCAGAGTGATCTCTCCCACGGATGCTGCCGTGTTCTTCACGTTCTCCTTTGAGAGCTCTTCTTCGTCTCCTCTGCCTCCAGCTGGCAATGCAACGGCGTTGTCATAACCTGTGGATCCACCACGACCCTTTGGGTCCAAGAAGGACGAGCCACGGTATGACGGCACTAAGAATTTGCCAGTGAAGTTGTCTGGTTTGCCTGAGGCGTCAAGCTGCTTGACTGTGAAGAGGAATGGCACACGCTCGCCTCCTGGAAGCTGGACAGTGACTGCAGCGTAGTCGATGCCGTCTTCTTCCTTGAATTTCACGCTACCGTCTGAAGAAACCTGCTCAAAAACCAATAAAAGACTCTATCAGTAATAAACCCTAACCTGAAGGCTGAAACAGGCTGTTTCTTGCGGTGGAAGCAAAAATAAAACCTCGAAGGGGCCTTCGATTTCGTCAAGGGTGTAGGTAAGACGGGTCATGAGCTTGGTGTTCTGGAATTCAGGAGGAGCGTTCTTGCTAACACTCTCAGCCTTGACGGTGAAGGAAGTAGGCTCGAAGCAGAACTTCTTGCCAGCGTACTTTCCCGGTTTGAAGGAGAAAGTCTCAGAGCCACCGTCAATAGTTGGACACTGGTTGGCAGTTCCAGTTCCCTTCACTTCCATGTATGTCTTGCTCTGTATCTCATCGTATGTCAGTCTCTTCGGAGCTCCCTCTGCACTTGCTCCCTTTCATTACACCACACAAAGATAATATAACTTTTAAGTCACAAATTGAGCACAATAAGATTTTTTAAATTGTTAAAATCATATATCTATAGAACTATCAAATTAGGTGTGTGAGCATTTACATGTTGTTAGTTACTAGTGATTTGCATCTATATGAACTGGTTTAGTCACTTAGTGTTCAATATGTTCCACATGAATCATTTTATCCTATATTTTCTTGATGGTGTTTTAGTTAATTTCATACTGTTTCTTTTTTTTTTTTTTGAAACTTAATTTCATACTGTTTCTTGCTCGTAATAAACTTACCGAGACGACGAGAGCAGAGGTTGCAAGAGCGAATCCAGCGATTTTAACAGCGTCAGAGCATATTTCGGCGAAGTCCTTGAAGTCAGATTGGTAGGAACAAGTGAGACGAGCAGAAGAAGTCTCTAGCCCGAATGATTTGCCGACGGTCTGAGTTGAGCGGAGGGCAGCACAGCCGCGAGAAGGAGCGGTGGAGATTTTGGCGGACTGGAGGAAAGTGGCAGTGGATTGGAGAGAGGCTGCCATGGCCACAAAGTCTTCTCTCAAAATCTCAAAATGTTTTTTTCCTGATCACAAGCAAGCAGAAAGGAAGACTAAAGAATTACAATAGATAGGATTGGGATAAGGCGATGATTTTCATTGGTCTGTTTTGTTTGACTGGTTTCTAATATTTCCACGTGTCCAGATATTAAGTGGAGATATGGATACTGTCTCTCACCCAGTGATGCTGACATGTACGTAGTGTATATGACGTACCTGTGACCTACGACGGTTTAACCATCTTAGCTAATGGGCCTTTGTTAATTACACAAATCACTGACTCTTCTTGTACAATAAAAACGTTTTGCTTTGTTTGTTTAAGACATTGAATTCCAGTATCCCTAAATTATGTCTCCTCGAATGTTTGAGGCTTACTTTTTTTTCTTTAAATGCTTGTATAGGTTTATACGTCCCTTTAATATAATCGATAAATAAGTTGCCTAGAAAAATATGGTTAAAGTGATGTTTTCTTCCACGTTTGTTTTGTTTTTCTTCTTTTTTTGGTAGGCATAGGTCACACCATTACAGAGGTAAAATTATGAATCAAGACTTCGTTTCTGAGGCCCTGCCATCCGTTTGGCGGTTATGTATGCCACTTTAGTTCTTTATTTGATGTTATTTCCTTTTCATATGTACCTCGATTGAGTAATGTTATAACTGATACAGTGACAAAATCAGCTCTCTCATTGCTTAACTCATTCTCCGTTAATGGAGTTTAAGACATTTAGTATGAATGAATCTTTGTTTGACCAAAAAAAAACTTCGGTTTTGAGTTCTTAAATTACTTATTACTCAATTGTTTAGGAATTTATATAGCTGTATTAATTCAATATCTCCCAACCATATTCAAATTTTTCATGATACAGATTTAATAGTTGGAACAAATTGGCAAGCTGTTGGCAAGCTGCACAAAGTGCTATAATGCTTTCTTATTTACTGATTTGGAATGCTGCTTTGTCATTGTCGTTGGGTTATGAGTTAAGCTTGGGTAACGCCAAAGCAGAGTCCATTTAGTCTTTGCCTATGAGACTCGTTTTGACTCAAGAATATCAGTTTGTCTTCCTTGTGCAAACCCGAACCTAATTTTTAAAGACAAATAGGCACTCAGAATGAGTAGGAGGTTTTGATTCATCATATTGAATCAGATGACAATAAACAATCCTCATCATGCCATCCATCTTCTGAAGTAAAATTGTTTTATACTGGAAAACATACAGAATAAACTAAATTAAAAATAGGATTCCCCTCAGACAAATGCCTCGATTGTCCGTAATCCGTGTAAATTCGGCCAAGACTAAACTTAAGAGCATAGATTTTTAGAGACTAATAGGCACTCAGAATGAGTAGGAGGTTTTGATTCATCATTAGAAATCAGATGACAATAAACAATCCTCATCATGCCTTTCATCTATTTTAAATCAAATTGTGTTTTTTTTTGTATGAAAAAACTAAAGAATAAAAATAGGATTTCTCTCAGACAAATGCCTCGATTGTCCCCACGATTTAAAGAATGGATTGATCGGACTCGTCATCTATTGTGTTGTTCATCACTGAGAAACCCTTTATTTTTACTTGTTAGTATACGTTACTCAAATTTTAACAGGAAAATAATAGTCAATCCTCTCAGACAAATGCCTCGATTGTCCCCATGGTTTTATGAATGGATTGGTCGGACTCGTCATCTATTGTGTTCTTCATCATTGAGAATTTTTTTTCCTTTTACCAAAAAATAATCAAATAACCTACTTAAAAAAACCAATTTGAACTACGAACAATAGGCCTTATTCCACAGACTATTGCTGCTTCATACGAACTAGAATAACGAATACAGGAAGAGAAAGAGCCATGCCTACGAAAAAAAAAGCCAGGAAATTTGAAGAGTCTAATTAGTAAGTTGGTTGTTTAGATTCTGACGGTAGCAGGCTATTTTATAGCTGAATGAAAATAGGAGATTAGGGTTTTAGGCCGTCTACTCCATAAAACGACATGAAGTCCTATATATTAATTCTGAACAGCGAGTAGTTCTTACCCAACACCCGTTTTTTTCCAAGAAATGAAACAACTCCCATATCTCACCGACAGCCCCTCAAAAATAATCCATGATTACGGCCCAGTTTGTAATTCTTCAAAAAGTGGCCCAGATTATGATATTATAATGTGTCATCCTTTGTCTGAAGGCATAGTCCAATACGTTAATGAGATTACTTTTTGGTTGTGTCTGAAACACTAATATCAATGGGCACCTAAACTGTGAATTTTTGCTAATAATTCAGATCCGTTTATTTTGGTTATACGAGAAAAACTCAAAACGTAACAAAGCAAGAAATCTCCACGGATTAAAATAAAAATAACAATCCAAGAATCAACATCATCATATCCTTTCCTGATTCTATACAATGAGATTCATCAAACCCGTCGTGATCTATGATCCACCACCGTTGCCTCCTGCGAATCACACACCTGCGTCTTGAATTTGCATCCGAATTTTTTCGTGATTGACCAACTCCTCGGCCGATCGCTACCCGTCGTCGCCGCAGGCGAACCAACTTTATCAATCTTGGCGATGACTTTCTTCATGTTGGAGCATTCCCTCTCTAACCGATGAACACGCGTCCTCATCGTATCCATATCCAACCGAAGCACCTGATTCTCTCTCACCGTCTTCTTCCACTTCCCACCTTCCACCTCTTCTCCTCCTCTCCCGTTCACCACCTCCGCTATCGTCAGATTCCTTATCTCTGACGGTCTCGGCTCCGTTGACTGAGACGGAGAAGGCGATTGAGCCGCTAAAAGCGTACCGGCGATCGCGTGGCGGAGCTGTAACTGCTCGAAGAAGAGGACTTGTACGACGGTTCGTAGCGGAAGCCGCTCGTTCTGTGCCGCGTGTGTGCACGCTTCTAACGTAAGTTTTTGACAGTCCATCACGCCGCAGATCTTCTCCTTCTCTCCTTCCGTTACCCATGGATGCGCCTAGCATTAATATAATTAAACAAAAAATTTCAAAATAAGTCAGATCTAATTCTCTCAAATTTAATTGGCTATTGTGATATTACCTTGAGATATACGTCGACAGCTCTGTAAAGTCCATCGTCGTAGAGTCGAGCTTGATCAGGGAGTGAGATCGCTAGGTTATAAAATTTCTCCGATTTGAGATTAGCGTCCGATGCGATCTCCGCGAGGAATCCGTCGATCAGTTTCCCGACTAGCATCAGTGACGGAGATCGATCTCCGTCAGCTTCAACTAGAGCGGTGTTGGATTGTTCCAAGGAGTCGAGAAAGTGGCTCAGGATTCTCTCCACCAAATCGACGTCGTATAACGTCTCGTTGAGGTATGAATAGCTAGGGACTAGCAAATCGTCGAGCGTCGCTCGCTCTAGCTGCGATCCAATCTTTCTCTCCAGTAAATCGCGGCAAGTCTCCGACGCGTTGAGGATGATGGACGTTCGTAGTAGCCCGAAGAGGAACCTCGTGGTTGCGGAGATGGAGCTTTTATCTAATGGAAGATTAGAGGTTATCGTCTCGAGTATCTCCCTCTGTTCGTTCTCTGAAGATGATAACGGCGGTTTTCGGTTGGATCGCAAGATTCCAGGAATATGCTTTTTGGCGTAACAAATCAAACAGCTCTCTATGATATCTGAGCTTAGATCTTCCGATCTCATTGATAGGATCACCGTTCTGAAGATGGGAAGGCTCAGCTGCGCCAAATCTTCAAACCACACCTCCGTATTCTGTTTCTTCCGAGTAGATTTCGACGCGCCACCACCGGGAATAACCGACAGATCAGCGACGGTTATGTCTCCCTCTCCACCTCCGCCGCCGCCGTCGTTTACCGGCCAGCCGAATAGTGAAGGATCGGCTGAGGAAGCTCTGGAGACGATAGACTCTATGCATTGTTCCGTTATACCAAGCGATTCAGCTAAAGGAGAGACTGAGTCACAAGCTTGAAGAGCCTTGATGGATTCTCGTAAGCTCTTGTAGACGGAATGGGAGAGAAACCTTTCCGTCTTTGAAATGAGGTTATCTGGTGAATACTCTTCCGTCATTTCGAGATGCTCGGCGGCGCAGCGAAGTGGAACGACAGAGGAGGCTGAGAGGTCCATCTTGACTCCATAGCAGAACTTTGCCACCATCTCGAAGCTCTCTGAACTCCCTGGGAAATCCTCGAGCTTTATGTGGGGGAAACTATTTTCTTCAATCTCCTGCTCGTCTTCTTCTTCATCTTCATCCTCGATTTCATGGCCTTTTCCCTTGTTATCACTCTCTGCTACTACTACAGTTAGAGCCATGGAGGTTTGGGGATTTACAGAAGAAAATGATCTACTCTCCTGCTCTGTTATCAACCTGTGAAGTTTCCTGCTCTTTGACATGAGAGGAAACTGGAGAAACCAACAAAACAATTAAAAAAAAAAAGTAAGAACATCAAAGAAAAAATTCATGAGGCGTTTATGGGACACCTTATGGAGATGAAATGTCATATCATCAACTTCGATTTCAATGTCGCTAGGTAATCCAGTCGTACAGAACCTTCATCAACGAGAAAAAAACAATTGTTAAAATGATAAATTTCTGCTTATTCAACAAACATTATCGATTAAAAAAAAACAGTGTTAGCTCTCATCACCATGCTTGACCCTTTGAGGTAGACTTCTCTGACGACGCCATTAAAAGACCACGCTGTGAAGAAAGCTCTGAAAAAAAACACTCACAGAAGAAACCAAAACTTCTCTCTTTCTGAAGAGAATGTGGAGAGAACAAAGAGAGAGAAAAGGGGGAGGAATTGGAATCCTAAATCATGAGAAAGAGACATATTAAAAAACAATTATTCGTATATCGAAAAAGGGGATCTCGTTTCGATCCATCTTTCCTCTCTTTTTTTCCCTTTCATTTTTTGTTTTGAATATAATTTTTCCCCCTTTAATTTGTTCTTTCATATAAATTAATCTTTTAGTTGGAGAACAGCAAGAATCTCAACTACTCTATCAAGACAGACACACTCTCAGAGAAATTTCGCTTTGGGACAAGCAAAATCCCACTCATTTGTTAATCATGTATACTAATCAACTATAAACACTGCCATTTTTATGCTTTCCAGTGTTTTTTCTTACTTTTTTGAAATGCATTACTCCATTCATATTTTAAAATTTAAAGAATGGTTGTTTTTCTTGAACTGTTTAGAATGAAATCAAGAACCAAAATTGTTTAGTTAAACAACTTAAGTGGCAGACATATATGTGGACTGTTTTTTTATATAGTATTTAATATGAAAATAATGTCTCACCTAATTCTGAAAATTGGGGTTTTTGACGTTTAGGAATCCCATGTGGTATGCAAGGGACATTAATATTTTGATAGAAAAATCATATTTAATGCAAATTTTACAGATGTAAAGGAGGAGAGAAAAAGAAAAGGTATGTGCAGCTTTCAATGCATTGTTCATCCATCCACAATTTAAAACCAACCAAACAATCAAAACTATATCGACCTTTGAAAATTTGAATGTGGAAACAAACATTACGGTGCTCATGTTTATTATATTTGTTTGTATTATTTATTGATGCAGACTCTGCCATCTATTTTTAAACGCTACATGTTCATTTACTATCTTACACTACCAGGAGTACGTACAATTTTTTTTTTTACTTTAGGTTTGTGATTATATTGTTGGTCGTTTACTCAAAATGTAACACATATACAGTAGGTAGATAAGTTAGTGGTGTTTCCATCTTCTTACTAATTACTTACAGAGCAAACTCAGATGAAACATGACTTCTGTAAAATATATATAATGGTTATAGTACATTTTTTACTAACATGTGAATATGTATTTCATGGTTCTTTCCAGCATGAATGCAGTTTCTTCGACTTCATCTAGTCACTGTACGTGGCACAAGAAAAAATAAACGAAGCAATCAGCGCAAGAGTAGACTTTTTTTTTTTTTGAATATTGGCTTTCAAAGCGTAAGAGTAGACTTTAACCAAGAAAAACTAGAAAGCCACTCAATGATTTTCTTACTCCTTTCTTTGTGATCTCACGTGTTAGGAGAAATAATCATATGATGGGTGCTGGGATAAAAAGTTTAGAAAACGAAATGATGGTTTCATACGCACCTCACACATAGAGACCCGGGCCTGTTATTATGGGGCCCATTCCATTTTCAAAATATTTTATTTTTATTATAAAAAGTTACATCTATTTTTTTTTTAAACTAAACAAAACAAATGAATAACATACAATAAAAAGAGACAAACGAATTATTTACTTTTAATTAGTATATATATATTTTTTTCAAAATTATATATATATATTATGTTAAAAATATCAATTTATAAATTAATATTTATAGAAAAACTGTTTTTTTTCAAAAAAAAATTACTGGAGGCAATTGAATAAGAAGGACCCTATTTAAATATTTCATCCGATTTTATAGAGGTTTGGACACTGATTAGATCGTATATCAAGTCTAAATAAACTACGCGTTGGAAAGTTAGATATGATGACCATGTACCATGAAAATATGTTTAGACTACATTATTATACATTGAGAGTGTGATTTGGTATTTTTAAACAACATTTAAGTGTCTAAAAATTTGAGAGAGCATTTATCAGAAAATTCTATTTTCTCAAAGGGGTTAACCCACATATTTCAAGAAAATTTTCTTTTTTGTTTTAATGCATATTTTCATCATTAACTGACATATTATGAATATTGAAAAGGTTTGAGACCTTATGTGTTCCTATTTCTCTAGAAAATAAAGATTTTATAGAGGTTTGGACACTAATTATATCGTATATCAAGTAAAAAAAAACTACGCGTTGGAAATTTAGATATGATGACCATGTACCATGAAAATATGTTTAGACTACATTAATATACATTGAGAGTGTGGTTTTGTATTTTTAATTAACTTTTAAGTGTCTAAAATTTTGAGAGAGCATTAATCAGAAAATTCAATTTTCTCAAAGGGGTTAACCCACATATTTCAAAAAAAATTAGAAATTTTTCTATTTTTGTTTTTAATACATATTTTCATCATTAACTGTCATATTATGAATATTGAAGAGGTTTGAGACCTTATGTGTTCCTATTTCTCTAGAAAATAAAGATTTTATAGAGGTTTGGACACTAGTTAGATCGTATATCAAGTTTAAATAAACTACGCGTTGGAAAGTTAGATATGATGACCATGTACCATGAAAATATGTTTAGACTACATTATTATACATTTAGAGTGTGGTTTGGTATTTTTAAACAACACTTAAGTGTCTAAAATTTTGAAAGAGCATTTATCAGAAAATTCTTTTTTCTTAAAGGGGTTAACCCACATATTTCAAGAAAAATTAGAAAATTTTCTATTTTTGTTTTAATGCATATTTGCATCATTAACTGTCATATTATGAATATTGAAGAGGTTTGAGACCTTATGTGTTCCTATTTCTCTAGAAAATAAAGATTTTATAGAGGTTTGGAAGATAATTATATCGTATATCAAGTAAAAATAAATTACGCGTTGGAAAGTTAGGTATGATGACCATGTACCATGAAAATCTGTTAAGACTACATTAATATACATTGAGAGTGTGGTTTGGTATTTTTAATTAACTTTTAAGTGTCTAAAAATTTGAGAGAGCATTTATCAGAAAATTCAATTTTCTCCAAGGGGTTAACCCACATATTTCAAGAAAAATTAGAAATTTTTTTATTTTTGTTTTAATGCCTATTTGCATCATTAACTGTCATATTATGAATATTGAAGAGATTTGAGACCTTATGTGTTCCTATTACTCTAGAAAATAAAGATTTTATAGAGGTTTGGACACTAATTAGATCGTATATCAAGTAAAAAAAAACTACGCGTTGGAAAGTTAGGTATGATGACCATGTACCATGAAAATATGTTAATACTACATTATTATACATTGAGAGTGTGGTTTGGTATTTTTAAACAAAACTAAAGTGTCTAAACACTTGAGAGAGCATTTATCAGAAAATTCAATTTTCTCAAAGGGATTAACCCACATATTTCAAGAAAAATTAGATTTTTTATTTATTTTTGTGTTAATGCATATTTGCATCATTAACTGACATATTATAAATATTGAAGAGGTTTGAGACCTTATGTGTTCCTATTTCTCTAGAAAATAAAGATTTTATAGAGGTTTGGACGCTAATTAGATCGTATATCAAGTAAAAATAAACTACGCGTTGGAAAGTTAGATATGATGACCATGTACAATGAAAATCTGTTAAGACTACATTATTATACATTGAGAGTTTGGTTTGGTATTTTCAAACAACACTAAAGTGTCTAAACACTTGAGAGAGCATTTATCAGAAAATTCAATTTTCTCAAAGGGGTTAACCCATATATTTCAATTTTTTTTTTGTTTTTATTTTAATGCATATTTGCATCATTAACTGACATATTATGAATATTTAAGAGGTTTGAGACTTTGTGTGTTCCTATTTCTATAGAAAATAAAGATTTTATGAGGTTTGGACACTATTTAGATCGTATAACAAGTTTAAATAAACTACGCGTTGGAAAGTTAGGTATGATGACCATGTACCATGAAAATCTTTTAAGACTACATTATTATACATTGAGAGTGTGGTTTGGTATTTTTAAACAACACTAAAGTGTTTAAAAACTTGAGAGAGCATTTATTAGAAAATTCAATTTTCTCAAAAGGGTTAACCCACATATTTCAAGATAAATTAGAATTTTGTTTTGTCTTAATGCATATTTGCATCATTAACTGTCATATTATGAATATTGAAGAGGTTTGTGACCTTATGTGTTCATATTTCTCTAGAAAATAAAGATTTTATAGAGGTTTGGACACTAATTAGATCGTATATCAAGTAAAAAAAAACTACGCGTTGGATATTTAGATATGATGACCATGTATCATGAAAATATGTTTAGACTACATTAATATACATTGAGAGAGTGGTTTGGTATTTTTAATTAACTTTTAAGTGTCTAAAAATTTGAGAGAGCATTTATCAGAAAATTCAATTTTCTCAAAGGGGTTAACCCACATATTTCAAGAAAAATTAGAAATTTTTTTATTTTTGTTTTAATGCATATTTGCATCATTAACTGTCATATTATGAATGTTGAATAGGTTTGAGACCTTATGTGTTCCTATTTCTCTAGAAAATAAAGATTTTATAGAGGTTTGGACACTATATAGATCGTCTATCAAGT